AAATTTTTCGTTGTTAAATTTTTTTTTTAAAACCAAAAATGTTAATTTTTCCAAATTAAATTAATTTTTTTTTCGGGGTAAAAATTTTTATTTTTTTTTTTTAAAGAAAATGATTAATTTCAAAAAAATTTAAGGAGGAAAAATAAAATAGGTTTTTTTTTTAGATTAAAAATTTTTTAAAGAATCAAAAGTAATAAAATTTTTTTTAAAAGGTCAAAATTCCAAAAATAATAAATTTAAGGGTTCAAAAGTAAATTTAAACGTTTTTAATATCAAAAAAATTTTTTTTTCAAATATTGAATTAATAAAACGGGGAAAAAAAAAATTTTAAATTTTGTAAAAAAGGGTTAAAATTTGAATAAAATTAAAAACCAAGAAAACTTTTTTTTCAAAATTCAAAAGCAATTTTATTAATTATTAACCATTTCCCGGCCAAATAACAATTATTATTTTTTTTCTAAATAAAAATTTTTTTTTTTAATTTATTTTTATATAAAAAAAAAGAGAGAGGGGGTTGGGGGGGGGGGGGCAATTGCCACTATGGCTCGAAAGTCCAAAGAGCCGTTGGCCTCAACTATTAAGAATATAGTTCATAATCTACATAAGATACGTGCACAAATTAAAGTAAATGAGAGTGTGACAAACAAAAGTAAAATTACTATTATAGAAGGAACTTAAAAGGGAGATTCTACATTTATTGTTTGTTACTTTTTGGTAAGATAAAAATATATACTTTGCTCATCAATCATCATCTAATTGTTGTATCATTAGATTCCTAAATAGTACTATGTAATAAGCTTCTAATTATGTTGTAGAATCTCGTGTTACTTTTTATTGAATTAGTAGAAATACATTGTTTATAATCATTCACTCATTTGCACACATTCACTTATGTTGATAGTTGATACTATCAATTATGTGTAAATTAGAGTTTTTTTTTTTTTTTTTTTTTTTGACCAAGTGTAAATTAGAGTTTAATATTAAATAGTTATTAAAATTGTAGAGACGTGAGGCGGATTAGTGTAATTTATTATTATAACAAGAAGTAATTTTCAACGTTCGATTCTGAATATCTACGGTTACAAAAGGTAAACCTCACGCTAAAGCTGTGCTCTTCCCCACAGGATAATTCTCCCACTACCCTTCTCGAGAAACTCAAATAAATTGAATTCCGGAAAAATGTAACCAATTCAAACGACGCAGCGAAATTTGGTCGCCTTGTTGCTTTTACTCCCATCTAGCCCGCCGACTACCTAACGGTTCGCCGTCGTTCCGAAGCGGCGCCGCTTGTCCGTGTGGCCGCAGTACTTTCGCATTAGTAATCGCTACACCTCTTCGCTGCCCTCAACCAACGGTTATTTCCTAATCTTCTCCCGTGGAGTATTGCGTTTGTACAGGTACACTGAGATTATGAGTTTCGGAATCCTCATTTTCAATTACATTTTCAATTACATTTTCATTGTTTCCTTTTACCTTTAATTTATGTATTTTGGTTGTGTTCTTCGAGAAATCTATTTTGGCTGTGTTCTCCGATACATCTCCGCAGACGTTTTTTTTCTGCTTTTTGATAGAGTATTTCGTGAATAATTGAAGAACAGGCTGGTGTTATTTCTTTAATTGCGGTTTTAGGGGTTTGGTGCTACCGCATTTTTCTTTTCCTTCAGATTTTAGCATATTTAATGTTCAATGTGAAGGTACAAATATTGGCTTCCAGATTTCCTGGTTCGTTTTATATTTGTTTCTTTTACGAGATCTTGATCGTGTTGGTTCATGCAATTTGCATATAAAAAGTGGAATTAGCGTAGTCGAGAGTGTTAATCATTCTATTGTTGCATATTTACTACATTGGTAGCCGCAACCAACGGTAAATACAGTTTCCAACCTAAGTGATCATAATTTCTGTATTTTGAATCGTTTGATGGATCAAGGTAGACGAGAAATAGGCATCTTCAATTTGCAAATTCCAGTAATATTTCTTTTGGATCTTGGGTTTCACTGACTAAAATGAGAAGAAACATAAAATGAAGGGAAACTTATGCATGAATTCGTTACTGTTTTGCTATGTTTATGTAATGGATTTATATGTTACAACATGTTTAAATTAGATATGGTTGCTAGTGAATATTTTATTTGTAATTTACTAGGCAGACAAAAGAACCTAAGGTAGTCTAATTGAATTGTTAAGTTTTGGAAACAGAAAGCAGTTTTTCAAAGGGAAAATGGAGAAAACAGAGAATGCATGTTTAAGCTCGGCATTTGTAAATAAATCGTGTGCTCAGTTTACTTTCGACATTGTCCGATTAGTTAAACTGCTGAACTTGACCTAACATATGTTTTATTCTTTGTGGCAGGGTGTCAAAATGATCGGATCTTTTTTCACTAGGGGACTTGTGTATGTGACTCATCCAGATTATAGTCTATGAAAAATCTTTTAGTTCCCCTAATTTTCATGCCAAACTACTTATTATTTTTATCCTTTCTTGCAGTTTGATTTTTGGTTATGCATATCCAGCATACGAATGCTATAAATCCGTTGAACTGAATAAGCCCGACATTGAGCTACTTCGGTTTTGGTGCCAATACTGGTAAGCGACATACTTGAATTATCGTGGAAATGCTTTAACTGCAAGTTTTCAGGTGTAATTTCATCTCTAACTTTCAGGATCTTAGTCGCTATGTTGACGGTTTGTGAAAGGATTGGTGATATGTGTATTGGCTGGTAAATATTTCTTTTCTTGAACACTTACTATTTTTCCTCTGGAGAACTTTTTTGATGTCTTTCTTGTATATGTCTTGAAGGATTCCAATGTACGGTGAAGCTAAGTTGGCCTTCTTTATATACTTATGGTTCCCTAAAACTAAGGTGTGCAATATAATTTACATGTCATTGTGGATTTGAGTTAACTATATCCCTTTTCTCAACTCTAGTTATATATTTTTCTGTACTAAATTGGTTTCAGGGAACGGCATATGTTTACGACTCCTTCTTTAGGCCCTATGTTGCAAAGCATGAGCCAGAAATTGACCGTAATTTGTTGGAACTGAGAACAAGAGCTGCAGACATAGCACTCTTGTACTGGCAAAAGTCTGCAAGCTATGTCCAGACTAGGTTTTTTGACATTTTGCAGTATGTTGCTTCACAATCAATTCCCAAACCCAAACCACCAACTCAGGTATGTATTGCGATGAATCTTGAAAAGACTAGTGTATCATGCATTCAAGTACACTGTCCGTACGTTTGGCAATAGTTACAATTATGTAATGATGTTGCTTTCTTACTGTATAATTTAGCCATTTAGCATTCTAATCACTGTCGCCCTTCGAAAACATGACATGCAGCATATGACATTTAACTGTTGAAAGTTCAAGCTATTTTCTGAAATTTGAAACCAACTTACATTTCACTTGTTGATAGGCATACAATTCAGTTTCATTGCCATGAAGTTCTTTCGTGTGCGTACCAACACGTGGATAGTATTTGGGGGGGGGGGGGGGGGTGTCATCTTAGTTATAGATACTTATGAGCTCTGAAATTAATATTTCAGTAATTGCCTCTTGTTTGATGCATTTTACAAATATTTATTCGTCATTAAAGATTTCTGATCATTCCATTGCAGCCACAAAATCAAAGCACTAAGGTCAAGAAACCCGCAGCACCATCAAATCCTATACCAGCTGCTGCCATGGTGCAGCCACAGGATGAAGAACCCTCTTCGTCTTCTTCTTCTTCCAGTACATCTTCAAGCGAACACCAAGAAGATGCAACATCAGACGAAGCAGACACTTCAGCCGATTCTAAAGCAGCAGCTACTTCTCCAGCAGTTCAGAAAGAACCAAAAATAACAATAAAACAAGCACTTCTTGAGAACACCAAAGCGTCGAATTCTACTCAAGAGCAGCAGATTGATTCTGCAAACGAGACTGCTCCACAGGATACCGTCATGGAAGAATCCGGAAGACTGACTAGAGCTAGGTCTAGGAAAACACGAGCTGCATCTATTCGCTGAGAGTTTGTGTTCCCACGTGCATTTTTTACGCAGTGGGTGAAATCGACAAAGTTCTAGACTATACTACTGATGCTACTTACTATACAGTGATTTTCTTCTTGCTAACAAATATTGATTCCGATTTTATTGTTCTTAATTGTTCTAGAAACACACTTGGGCACTTGTTTGATGTGGTATGTGAAAATTGCGATAACTGCACAGGAAATTTGCAACTTGAATGATTTTTCTATTTCTTTCAATTTTCGATGTTTTGTCATAACGCAGTGATTTTTTTATTTATCGACCTAAAATGGCCCGACCAAAATCTGACTTGGCTACGCACAGTTGTTGAAATGAAGGCCTGACGGAATGTTTTGTTACTATACATTTCTGTATTTAATGCAGGTCTAATCAGAGTATGAATACATAAACAATCAGTGTTGTTTGTACCCTTGTTTTATTTGTGCTACCAAATTAATATGAGATTAATTCCTGTAATATATATATAATTAAATTAGTCGTGACAAACAATAAGTTAAAACATGTTGGTTGTACACAGGACATTCAAATCTAAATGTCACTGCCAATTGATACTTGAAAATAATTTGATGATGATTATTATTATGCATTAAGATTTAAGATTATAAAGGACGTGGATTTGGAAATTTATAATTAATTATGTGGAGTTAATTTGGAGCCTTTTAATAATGAAGGTTACTAGTGCAATTGGACCCATCATGTAAGGAACAGTCATTATCTGGATGCAGATTTTCCACAAATTACAAGGAGATTGAGAATAACTCCAAAGTAGCAAACATACATCCCACGTTACACATACAAATAAATAAAATCTCAAACATATAACTCTGATATTTATTTTATTTTTAATTTATTTATCACAATGCATGTGGTTGCAGGACAGATCACTATAATTGAACTAGACCATTGCCGCAGATAACAACAAATGTGTAAGTTCATGTGATCAAAGAGACGACTATATAAGTCAGATCAATATTATTGGAACAGCTTATAAGTTCTTAATTTCTCTTATTTCGAAGTTGTAACCAAACAAATTAAACCTCTCTCTCTCTCTCTCTCTCTCTCTCTCTCTCTCTCTCTCTCTCTCTCTCTCTCTCTCTCTCTCTCTCTCTCTCTCTCTCTCACAGACACACACACACACACACACACCATAGTACAAACACTTACTTTCATGACACTGATACACGCAATGGTAGCAAACCCTTCACATGATTATCCGAAAAAAACGAATCCCAAGGGCAAAAAGGTAAAGTGGGAAACGAAACAGCCGTCTTCATGGGACCAGATCAAGAACATGCTGATCTGCAAACACATTGATCAGGATTCCAAATCCCATCATACTATTATACATCCCTCATCAAAAAACGTCGTCGTTCCTCAACCGCCCAATATTGTCTGCTCCAGGTTAAGAAGGGACGCCGTTCATGGCAACTCAAGGGTCGTAAATCGAGCCGATAAGTCGCCGGAGAACTGCCGTACCCCCGCCACTGCAGGGCAAGAAACCAGGCTGCTCAGCCACAAAACTACTTACGGATCGTCTTCTTCCCTGTCGGTGAGATCCGGTTCCGGTCGGGGCTTGCAGTTGAGAAAGCTCTCCGGTTGCTACGAATGTCACGCCGTTGTCGATCCAGCCAGGTAACTACTAATCATTCACGTAATTTTTTTTATATAAAATTAAATTATGCATTAAAGTGGATCGGATATTATTAATATTTACGTACGTAGGTATCCATTAATCCCAATTACAAGTTTAAATCGTTGCTCTGAATGCGGTGAGGTTTTCCCAGAAATCGAGATGTTGGAACATCATCAAGCAATTATGCATGCAGGTATTAATATTAATTTACTTCGATTAGTTACTCCAGTGTTAATTATTTGTTGATGCATGAACTGTACTAGATCTCAAGAAACAAAGAATTGGGGTTTCTTGAAATTAATTTGAGAGCACGAGACTTGCTGACTGCAATTTCACTTTCACGTAATGGACCAGGGACTTCATTAATTGGAAGTTAGTATCCTACGTGTACAAATTTAATTCAACCCCAAACGACCATTTTCCATTTTAAGGACCGGACCCCCATATATCAAATTCAATTATTATCATCTAGATATTATATATTACTCATGCACGTACGGCCTTTTCTATATATATATATTCCCAATTGCTTTATATTAAATAATTTGCCACGCACACAATATAATCACACACATACATGTGGATGTGTGTAAATTAGTAGTTTGCATCAATGTTAGGCGTAGCAATCGGACATATCAGATCGGATCAGAATTAACACGTTTGGAGAAAATTCTAACTTTTTTCAAAATATAAAACTAGCTAATTCCCATTTTTTAAAAAAAAACCGAGAATTGGAATTTCGAAAACAGGAATGTAAAAAATTGTTCCAAAGTCGGAATTTTTTTGATCCCAACTAGTGAAATTCGGAAATTCCATTTTCCTAGTCAATCATCTAAAATTTTCAGAAAACTATCATTTTAGAAATAAAATTGGATCGAAAATCAGAAACATTTATGGATTACAATTTTCGCAATGAAAAATGTTTTTCAAAATTGAAAATTTCGTTCCAAATTTTCACATTAATAGAATAACTGTTTATTAATTATTACTAAACAATAGTTGTTGTTAATTTTGTCTTTTGTTTTACAGTGTGTGAACTAGGGGCAGAGGATTCAAGCCGCGACATAGTTGAAATAATTTTCAAGTCCAGCTGGCTTAAAAAGGACAATCCAGTGTGCCAGATCGAACGGATACTAAAGGTGCATAACACCCACCGCAAGATCCAACGGTTCGAGGACTATAGAGACTCCGTGAAAGCACGCGCCAGCATCAGCAACAACTCCGCCAAGAGAAACCCTAGGTGCGCCGCCGACGGAAACGAGCTGCTCCGATTTCACTCCGCCACCCTCGCGTGCCCACTCGGCGCGCACGGCTCGTCCAGCTTGTGCGGCTCCTCACCTCCTTGCGGTGTCTGCACAATTATCCGGCACGGATTTCAGGGGAACAGCAAAAGTGGGATCCGCACCACCGCAACCAGCGGACGCGCTGCCCGGGACTGCCTTGGCGGATCGGCCACGCGCGGGGCGATGCTGGTGTGCCGTGTAATTGCGGGGAAGGTGAAGCGCGTGGGGGATGCTGATGAGGATGGAGGCGCGGCGGCTCCCATAGCCGGCTCATACGATTCTTTAGGCGGCTGCGCTGGGGTTTATTCGAATATTGAGGAATTGTATGTTTTTAGTTCAAGGGCAATTCTGCCTTGTTTTGTGGTCATTTACAAAGCACTAGAGTCTTAAGCACGTATTAATTGCTATTGTATCTTCGATTATATTTTTTATCTCAACATATCCCAATAATAAGGACTCAGTGTTTGGGAAACATGTAAATATTAAAATCATAGGGGTATGTTAATCAATATGCTATATAAACATATATACGCTTTTATTTATATATTTTCATAAAAATGTATTCAAACTAAAGTTTACTATCAACTATCAATTTGTTTGATCATTAAATTGTGTAAATAATTAGAGAAGCAACAAAAATATTTAAAAATTTGCTATTCAAACATGTTCATAACTTTTTACAAAATTGCAAAATGACATATAAGTCCGACAAGTGTCCTCAAGTGTCCGTCACAAAACGTGTCCGAAATGCAGAAACATTAAGAAGTTGAAGTTTACATACTACGTAGTCCACAATCAAATACACATGTATTAAAATTTAAATGTGTGTAAAAAGGCCCTAAAAGTAAATATTATAATTAGGGATGGGGTTTTTACTTTTTAGACGAAAAAGGGCCTAAAAGTGGGATTAAAGTAAAGAGAGGGGTTGGGCCGGTAATATGGGCTAAATAAATTAAGAAGGAAAAAAGAGCCCATGAAATCTAAACAAGACAATAAGAACAACGCAGAACTCTCTCTGATGGTAGCTGCCCTTCTGTCTTCCGCCTTCCAACCAGTGAACCATTATCTGCTCCGCTACCTTTCTTCTTCTTCTTCTTCTTCCATCTTCTGCTGTTTTTCTCTTAACTCGTAAGTCCTCTTTTTTTTCCTCAATCTTTATGCTGTTTAGTTTTTACACTTTAATTGTAAATTTATTTTCCGGCTTGAAGAATAAATCTTGTACATTTTGGGAAGGGGAAACCATTACCATTATATGAACCCAGGGATTGAGTCGTAGATACTTTTCTGAAAAATTAGGTTAATTTTCGTTGATTTATCGGGAAATTGACTGAATCGCTTTTGAAGATTCGATTCAATCGCCGCACTTAGGTTTTATAATATAATAATTAAGTTGTTGACAGCAAAATTAACGATTAGTTTATTTTTAATCTGTGGTCATATTGCATAATTGGATAACTATTAGCAATGCAAGCTGTAGAATGGGTCTCCACCGTTTCGGATAAACTTGCATCAATTGGAAATATATATAATGCTACTTCTTATTCATATATAATATTTCTGTACTCAGTATAGCTCAGTTTGAACTAATTGGAAGTTATAACTATGGTGCTCTAACTTGGGTCACAAAGTCTGTTTACCGTCGAGTCGTCACAAGATTTATCGTAAAACGACCAATTAAATTCGAGAAATAAGTGAAGTTGTGTTTTACAGTTCATAGTGTTTTTTTGTAACAGGGGCAGGGTAACGAAGTCTGGTCCAAGCTAAGATGGCATTTGCCGATGATTTTCGCTCTTAGAAGATTCCGTCGTTTGAGAGGTTTATGCACCATGACAGAACAAGTACCAAAAGATTCTATTTCTCACGAAGACTTTCCAGTTTTACCACAAATAACCACAAAAAACAGATATACATCTTCACTCTCCAAAGTCCAGGCAACCCCAGAAATCGAGAAGAAGTATGTTCATAGTGTTTACGACGCAATCGCCCCCCATTTTAGCTCCACCCGTTACGCCAAATGGCCCAAAGTCCAAACTTTCTTGAACACTTTACCCACCGGATCACTCGTTCTTGACGCAGGATGCGGAAACGGGAAATACTTAGGGCTGAACCCAAATTGCTATTTCATCGGATGCGATATTAGTGCTCCACTAATTAATATATGCGCAGATAAAGGGCAAGAAGTTTTAGTTGCCGATGCTGTAAATCTCCCTTACCGAACTAGTTACAGCGATGCCGCGATTTCTATTGCAGTGTTACATCACCTAAGCACCGCAAGTCGGAGAAAAGAAGCGGTGGCGGAATTAATCCGTGTTGTGAAAAAAGGTGGACTTGTCTTGATTACGGTTTGGGCTAGAGAGCAAGAAGATAAATCTTTGATCACCAAGTGGACCCCACTTTCTTCAAAGTACTCGGAGGAGTGGATAGGTTCGGGCAGCCCTAAAACTCGTCGGTCTTCGTTTTCTTTAGAGAGCATTCAAGAAACTGAGGAGAATGTTTCTGGTGAGGTGTTGAAAGATTTCCCTTTTGCGGATGAAAAAATCACGCAAGAGTATTTTGTGCCTTGGCATTTGCCTTACCATAGAGTCGAAGTGAGTGGAGCTTCTGCTAATGCTGTGGAGGATGGGTTAGCGAGGAAAGACGATAAGAAGGGTGCGGTGGTGTACGATAGATATTATCATGTTTTTAGTGAAGGTGAACTCGAAAGGTAGGGGCATGTATTTTTTTTGGTATGATTTATTTATTTATTTTGCATTAAATTATTGGAAATGTAAATGTTATGTGCAGGTTGGTAAGTGGTGTGGATGGTGCTGTAGTTGTTGACAAATTTTACGACAAATCGAACTGGTGTATTATCCTTGAGAAAACTTCGTCTTGAGATTCTACGACAAATTCAATCCTCTGGTGTATTTCTTACAACCTGGGAAAATCGGTCAACAGGAGTTTACTTGGGAGAAATATCGAAGATGAGAATTGACTGCTGCTTCAGACAGCAACCTGGGAGGGGAGGAAGGTGTACAAGGTTTGTAAAAGGTGTTCTCGGATTCTTCTTTTATTTATCTGTTGCTTTTGGGGTTGTTGGTGCATAACAATTAGTGGCCGTATGATAAATACACGGTTGAAGCAAGATGCTTCGTATTGTTTTAGGCTTGAGATTCGATTGCTGGATGTTGTATTTGAATTTTCTTTCCAACTTTAAAATTGAATTGTTCTTATACTATTACATCGAGTGAATTGTTTTAAATTCTATATAATTTATCATATTATATAGAAAAATTATTGAGAAAAATACATCCTGCAAATTTGGGTGCCTCTGCTCATGCAAATGCGACGTGAGATCGTCCACTCTTGTTGGTAAAAAAGCGCCGAATAAGTGGGATTATTTGCTTAATTTTCTTCTTCTTTCTAAGAGAAGGGTGCCTTTGGAGCACAGCCTCTTCTTTCGGCACGATGACTTGAGCTATTATGGTAGGATGATTAGAGAATCTAACGCACTTGTTTTTCTGGAATTCCGTTTCTTTATCATGACCGATGTTATTAGTCTCGGTTTTCGCCACTTTTTCTTCTTCAACGAATTTGATGTCTTCTTCTGTACTGCTGTCTAAATCCCACGCGCGTTGTCTTTGATGATCCGAATCGCGGGTTTTCAGTTGCTGGAGCTCCGTTTTGGTTTGTTGGAGCTCTGTTTTGGTTTGTCGGAGCTCTTGTTGTAGTGAAAGGAGGCTTTGTTTTATTGCATCTACCTAGGGGTGGAGATCGGACGGATCGGATCGGAAACCACCGGTTTGGAAAAAATCCGATTTTTTTCGGAAGTCAAAAGGCAATTCCGAATCCGATTCCGAAAATTTCGGAATAGAAAAACTCATTCCGATTCCGATTCCGAAAATTCCGGTCGGAATTTCGGAATTTTCGGAATTGACGGTTTACGGCGACTCTGTTGCTTTTCCGCGACGGAGCAACGACGATGGAACGATTTTGAGGCAAACTCATTTCTTATTCCAAAGACACCCTCTTCCGCAAAGAATCTTTCAAATCTTGAAAATGCTTGTGAAATGATGAACGGGCAGATCTTGACAAGAAAATGGAAGAAAAATGTAGAGGTGGGCGAAAGAAGACGTCGCCTGCAAGAAGATTTTTTAACGAATAGAAAAGAGAAGAAGAGGTGGGCGGAAGAGGAAGAAAAAAAAAAGGGGCAGAGAAGGGGGTGTGTGGCTGGTAGCGGCGGAAGAAGAAAAGAAACAAAGTTAGGGTTTTGATATTTAATGTTCAGTCATTTAAAATTATAAACATAGAGTTTGGGTTTGGGTTGTAGTTTGCTAAATGGGCTGCAGGCCTATTCTTTTTAAACATGAGATGGGCTTTCTTGAAATTGAAGAAGTAGTAAATGGAAAACAAAACTACAATATAATTAATAAATAGCAATAATTTCGGAAAAAATCGGAAAATTTCGGAAAAAATCGGAAAAAATCGGAAAATTTCGGAATTATATTCGGATCGGAATTCGGAAATTCCAAAATTTTGATATGTATTTCCGATCCCGATCCGATTTTTTTCGGAAATTTCGGAAATCGGAATTTCGGAATTCGGAAGTGAAAAAATCATTCCAAAATCGGAATTATTCGGATCGGATTCGGCGGAAATCGGAAATTTCGTTCCGATTTCCACCCCTACATCTACCTCATCATCTTCATCACTTGTCACACTTCCATTGCCATGTTCTTGTATCTTTACATTTTTTTTGTTATTACAAATTAATGTTATTAATAAATATGATCAAAGTAAAATAAAATAGAGGAAGTGGAATGAATAAATATTTGTGTAATTACCTCTTTGGCATAAACCTCGGTGCAAAGAACTCTTTCGCCGAACAGAACCACCGCCTCTTTAACCGATCGGAAGGGTGAGGTGGTGTCGATCTCCGCCTTACTCATTACAAGCGCTGCCTCACCTTCCATTACTGCAGGCAACGGAACTGTAGACAAATTAGCAAAAGCTATTGTATTGCCTTCTGAATATGTGTAAGCAAAAAAATGCCTTAGTATAGAGTGGTTTCTTGTTTAGCATGAGGTTCGTTACTTCGTCTCCACTTCTCTCTGAATACTGAATATTTTAATATTAATGCTATTATAAATAAAAACGGTTTAACGAATAATCGGACCGATAGAAATTAACACTTTTGGAAGTTAACGAAAGAGAAAAATTCTTTCGGAAGTGAAACACTACTCCACTCATAAACTTTTGGGGGAAAAATCGGAAATTAAAATCTCATATATATTCTAATTTCGATTTTTTTTTTATTGCAATTATTTGTTAAAAGTTTAATCTTAAATAAAAAAAAAAAAAAATCGGATTAAAATCGGTGGAATTCGAAAATCCCCAACTGATCCATCCATTTACATAACAGCCCAAATTTGATGGGCTTTTTCGTATAATTTCCAATTCCAAAAGTTAAATAAAATCATAAGAAAATAAACTAAAGAGTATTTTTCAACAGTTCAATAGTATAATCGATTTTTTTCAAATCCATAGACGCAGAAGAATAGATTAATGTCAGCTCAAACAATTCAATCCATTTTCAGTTACTCAGACATTCCTAGGTTTGTTCTTTGCTGAATCTATTCATCTTCGAAAATGGTAAACCCTCTCTCTCTCTCTGCATTTGCCTCTTTCTAATTCATTAATTCTGCAATTTCTCGGCGTCGCGAATTTCTTACCTCTTTCTCTGTTAATTATTGCAGATCCGATTCATAATACTACAGAATCGGCAAGGCAAAACTCGATTGGCCAAATATTACGTTCCTCTCGAGGAATCCGAGAAGCACAAGGTTGAGTACGAGGTATTTTTTTTTTTTTGCCCTCTCACTTGTCGGTTTGGATCTCCAGCTCGATTTAATGTTCCTGAAAGCTTTTTATTCGAGTTTAAAAAAAAATAAAAATTACTTGTTTATTGCAGGTTCATCGACTTGTTGTGAATAGAGATCCCAAATTCACCAACTTTGTTGAGGTAATTTATTAATTATATATCTATTTTAAGTTTTAACAGAGTGTCACTTTTCAAGTTTTCATTTTTCAATTCAAATATGTGGCCCTCCGATTTTTTTACCGATCTAATTAGCAGATTTCGAATCGATTATCCTTTCGGAAATGTTGCTATAGAACCGAGCATGGGTAATACGAAATGCTAGTTGGTATTATAAAAGACAGTTTTATAATGGGACTAAGAGAAAAATTCGTGTTTCTTACCATCTGCCTTGTGTGTTTTTACTCATCATTTCCATTTCAAAAATTATGTAATTTCGGTTAGCTTATACTCGGCAAAAACCTTTCTTGCAGTTCCGAACACACAAGGTTATCTACAGGCGATACGCTGGGTTATTTTTCTCTCTGTGTGTAGACATTACGGATAACGAGTTAGCTTATCTCGAGTCCATTCACTTATTTGTGGAGATACTCGATCACTTTTTCAGCAATGTGTGCGAGCTAGATTTAGTGTTTAATTTCCACAAGGTACGTTTCTCTTTTTGGCGATTTCTGTTGCCTGTTGAATTTGATGTATACTATTCCATGTGGATAGTTCAAAAATTGAATAAGATTGTCAAGTGCAAAACGATCACTGTGAATTTTTTTAGTCACGTGCAACGTGATCATTTGATCTCTGTTTCTGTTTTTTTCCGAACTTATTACCGAGGGTAAATGCTGATTCTGCTAACAAATGGTCTAACGTTCTGCTAAGTATATTATCCAGGCAATCACATGAATTTTTTAATTGTCTCTTGAAGGTATATCTGATACTAGATGAGTTCATACTTGCTGGGGAACTGCAAGAAACAAGCAAGAAGGTAAAACATTTTACTTACCGTTTAACTGTTAGTGAAATGTAATATGTTAGCTGTATGTGGATTTATGACAAAAAAAAACCATACCAGTTTCCAGCCATCATATATATATTTTTAATTATCTAGATGATTTAATTTGCACATTAATTCTTTGATATGAAAATAAATATTACGGAAAATGGTTATCGTTTTGTCTGAATAATTTATTCGAATCGGCATTTTATTACGTTTGCTTCGTTTTGTGATGTATAGGCAATCATCGAAAGAATGGGGGAACTCGAAAAGCAGGAGTAAGGATTTAATCAAGCAGGAGTAACTAGAACTGCGGTGCTAAAGACTTTGAAAATCTTGTCTGTAAAGAATGTTTGTGTACCAATATTTCTTCGGTTTAATGATTTCATTTTTTAGTATAATCAACATTTTAAATTAATAAATATTTTCTTAATTTTTGGTACTTTGCTAATGGGCCTAGTGGAATAAACTATGGGCCGAGATGACTTTGTTAATAGTTCGATGTATCACATTTGGGCTTTTAATTACCACTAAATTACAACATTACATTTTATATATCATAGTAATTTAACCCGTGTGATGCACGTGATACAAAATTTGATGACGTATAAAATATAATTTAGGCTGCGGCTATATGCAATACTCATTCCACTTGTGCAAGGCCAAATTAAAGAAAGATTCCAAAAGATTCTATTTTATTAAGATGGAATGACAAGTATGCCCATAAATTAAATTGGCTTTTTTTTCTCATGTAAGACCAAATACAAATAATGAGAAAAAAACAAAAATCGACACCAAGGTGTCGAAAAACTATGCTACAAATCGACACTTAAGCGTCGAATTTCATAGGTAAAAATCGACATTGACATGTCGAATTTGTAGCACAAATTCAAATGTCGAATTTTATACCTAAAAATCGACATCTAAATGTCGAATTTTATACCTCAAATTCGACATCTAAATGTCGATTTTTACCTGTAAAATTCGACCTGTACATGTCGAATTCGTTTGCACGGGATTTTTTTTGGAAAATCGATATTCTAGCTAAAAAAAACCCATAAATGCATACATTCTTGGGTTCTTCCATCGTAGAATGTTCTATTTTGATGTCTTCTGACTCCATACTTGCCATCTTTGTAAGATTTGTTGAGTTTTGATGATTTTGAATTTCTAGGTTTTGTGGGTTAATGGAGGAGGAAGGAGAAATGTCTTGTGAGTTTTGGAAGATGGAGAAGATGATAGTTGGTCTTGTGGTTTTGTGATAGGGTTTTTTGTGTTTTTAAATTTTTGGTCTTGCATATTTGGATTTTTTTATTTTTTTAATAAATAAGGGTATTATAGTATTTATACATTGAAAATTTTAATTTGATCTTGCACAAGTGGAATTAGTCTTGCATATAGCCGCAGCCTATAATTTATTAAGGAGTCCATAAATCTTCAAAAAACACTAAAAAATAAAAGTTAGCATATTGGAAATAAAAGATAATAGTAAAATAGCACAACAACCTTTCTAGTTTAATTATCTCACCCAACATATATTTTTTACAATCCAATTTGACTCGTTTCCGCTCCTTAAAAACATCAAGACATTATTTTGATTTTCATATACTTTTTCTTTTATTTTTTATTTTCAAACATTTTTGTCCCTCGTTTTCTCCACTTCTACCCACCCATTCACTACCAACCTTCCTCAGAAAGAGATGCTGTCCACTCTTGAGTTTCTCCCCTATGTCATGCGTACATATTTACTTAGTCCAACCAATTTTAATTAATTAACTATTCAAAATCCAAATTAATGCAAAAAAAACCCTAAAGCAAATTCTTTTATTTCATATTTTCTGATTTGTCACAAAAAGTCTTAAAAAAAATTTTAGGGGCACAACCTTTGAACCCCTGAAATTGTAAACGCACCCTGTAACAAATTTTTGGATTCGGATTTGCACTGCTTAGAAGTAAAGAAAGTCATACTATTGAAAACATAATGAGTTGCCAACGTTACAAATATATATAGGGTAAATTACAAACACCCTCTGAGGTATGGTCAAATTATAAAAACACCCATCTTGTTTGGATAATTACAACCACCCCCTCAACTCATCAAATTTAGTGGAATCTTCGAGATTATATGGAATATTATCACTTTTGTACCCGTTTTATCCCATTCAAACTCTACATTATGAAGCAAGATGATAATAATTTGTGATTTTTAGCTTGTATATATCAATTTGTGGTGCATCAAAAACTGTATTTTTACACAAAACGAGTACAAACTAGAGAACATTTCATGGAATCTAGATGATTATGTTGAATTTGGCACAATAAGGGTGGAGGTGTAAGAAAAAATCATAGTTGAAGGGGGTAGATGTAATTATTCAAATAAGAGGATTTTTTTTTAATTTGACCATACCTCAAGGGTGTTTGTAATTGACCAGATATATATAAGCAAGTTTAGCTTATTTTAAAAAGAAAATCTAATAAAGCTCAACAGATAAGAAAGAATTGGGATTCAAAGTTACTTGCAACTACCAAAGCATAATTTTTTTTCCGAAATAGCTCCACCAAAAAATTCGAATTTTGAAGTAAATCAATACTGTGCCATTCAGAAAAAGAATTGGGATTCAAAGTTACTTGCAACTACCCACGAATTTCTCTCAAAAAAAAAAATGCTTTAATTGAACAACCAGAAATTGATTTTAACTAATAAACTAAAGAAAATCATAAAATCAATGTATTAAATAATGACAGTTGTATCCCTAACACGGGCAGGAAAAATTGCCCTAAAGTTTTACTAGAGCAATCTTTCTTTTATTAATAAGATATTTTCTCTAATTTTGAGCAAACCAAAATTCAAAAAAATTAATTTAATCAATGAAGTATACCCATGAAATTAATAATAGTTAATAAAACTACTAATTTTTGATATTTTGCCTAATATTGAGCAAACAAAAATTCGAAAATTTTAAATTTAATAAATAAAATATACCCAGAAAATTTATAATATGAGCCAACAATTAATTGCAGAGATTCAGAGCAAAAGAATATGAGCCAACGATTAAATATTGTTAAAATAATTATATTAAATTATATTAAATTAAATTAATTAAATAAATGACGAATATAGCTATCAAATTAGCGGGAAAAAAAATCCTAGAGTTTATCAAGAACAACCTTACTTTTATTATTATGGGGTTTTTGTGCATAAGTCCCCAACCAAGCATGTTTATTATTCTAGGTTTAGGGGTTATATATATTTCACCAATAAGCTCATCCCTTTTATATTTATTATAAATAAAGGAAATATTCATGTATATGCCAATATTACCCCCAACCATTTATACACAATTCTTAATTGTAACCCCAATTTAATCAATTTTGTTCACAAAAATCAAATTTTGACCACAAAACTTCAATTTTGACTTTTTTTTTTCAAAATTTTTTTTTTTGCCCCCGGATTCCGGCACTGACTTTTCGATATTTTTTTTTTCTTCCGGATTTTTTCGCCGGTCTCGGGCGTTAATTTTTTTTTCTTCTTCTTCTTCCAGATTTTTTCACCGGTTTCCGGCGTTGATTTTTTTTAGTGTTTTTGGATTTTTTTTTTTTTTTTACGTCCGCCGCTAAACGTTGACCGTAATTGTGCTGTCAGTGACAATAAATTAATGTAATTATACTGTAATGACAGTTAATTAACGTAATTGTACTGCCGTTGACAATACATTTATGTAATTGTGTTGCCGTTGACAGTAAATTAATGTAATATTATTATTTTTTATTTTTTTTTATTTTGTTTGATTTGTTGACAAATCAACGTAATTATATTACTGCCGTTGACAGTAAAATAACTGTAAACACAATAATAATACTGTCAACAACATCAATATTATGGGCCGATTTGCACTTTACCCCCTAAACAAAAAAATTTTGCACGTTTTTACTTGAACTCGTTAATTCGTTGCACGGTGCCCCCTAAACTCAATTTTCCGGCAATTTTAACCGGAATGTGAAAATATGTGCTTTGCACGTGAGATTTTGAGGGGTAAATTCGTCCCTTCACTTGCATCTTTAATATTAAATACAAATAAATATTAAAAAAAAAGGAAAAAAAAAGGAATAAATAAATAAAGGAAAAAGAAGCTATTCGTCTTGTTCAAGCTTTTCTTCGAAACCCATCAATGGCGGCCGTCAAAGAACAGAAGCGCAGCCTGCACATAGTAAAAAACAGAAGCTTTTCGCTTCCTCCATTAATTTCGTCAAAATCCCACTCCCGAAACTCGACGAACTCCCTGAAAACGCAGAGGCAACAATGGACATCAATGGCGGAGAAATGGACTATCTCAAGAAATCAAAAGATCGGACTGGTGTTTTGGAATTTAAGGCGCTTGTGGGGTTGAAAAATCTACCCATCTCCAAACACTAGCTCTTATAATATCCTAATATAGCTCCATCCGTTCCTATTTCTTCCTCAATTCTGGTTTTTTATTTTCATTTTCTTTTTGTGTTTGATTTTGAATTTCATATGATCCGTCGCCAAAAAAAATTAGAGTACTTTGCTGTTCGTGGAGTTGTTGTAATCGCTAATCAGCCACCTCGATGAGTAATATTGGTTGATTTGCCAGAGATTCTTGTTCGCTTCTGCTCCAGGGTTGAATAATCGGAATCGAGATTTGCATTTTTTGTGGTTTAGTTGTGGATTTGCCCATTTCCTGCAGATGATTGGTTTCTCTGAGTATTTCGTCTTGTGATATTTGTGTGGGAGTTAGTTTTGTTTCTAGAAATTACTGAGTTGGATGATTTAACCGAGTTTTAGGGTTTCAATTTTTTTTTTAAAAAAAAGGTAAGAGCTTGGTTGAGGATTAATTTATTAATATTTAATATATGCATGTAAAGGCATCTCCTGTTGATAAGTGAATGTACGAAGATACCCCTGTAAATGTCACGTGCAAGGCACATGTTTTAACTTTCCGGTCAAAATTGCTGGAAAATTGAGTTCATGGGGCACCGTGTAACGAATTAATGAGTTCAGGTAAAAACGTGCAATTTTTTTTTGTTTGGGGGGTAAAGTGCAAATCGGCCCATAGTTTAGGGGGCAAACTGCTTTTTACCCTTATTTTTTTGGGTTTTTTGTTTTGTTTGAGGTATTCACGGAGTAACGTAATAATATTATTGTATATTATTGTAATATTACTGTAAACACAATAATATTAGTGTAGTTGACGGCAATATTATTGTTGTTATAGTAATATTGTTGTCAACCACATCAATATTATTATTTTGTTTGGATTTTTTTGTTTGTTTGAGTTATTCATGGAGTAACCTAATAATATTACTGTCTATTATTGTAATATTACTGTAGTTGACGGTAATATTACTGTTGTTATTGTAATATTACTGTCACTCACAATAATATTAATTCGTTTGACTTTTTATTATGTTTACATTTGTTGAACGGTTAACATAGTAATATTACTCTATTACACAATAATAATGAGTTTTGTTGTGTTAATATTACTGTGCTAGAGATTAATATAGCAATATTACTGTGTTAAACTGTAGTTTAGTTAATTTTACTGTGTTTAACAGCAATATAGTTAATATTACTGTCAATCACAGCAATATTGTTGTGTAAACGAAAAAAAAATGTTACAGAAAAAAAAAAAAATCAAAAAAGTGAACGCCGGAAACCGGCGAAAAAATCAAGAAGAAATTTTTTTTTTGGAAAAGTCACCGCCGGAATCCGGCGGGAAAAAAAAAATTTGATTTTTTTTTTTTTGAAAAACAAACGTTTTGGGTCAAAATTGAATAATTTGTGAAATTTGGGGTCAAGTTAAAATTAAATTAAGTTAATGATGAAATTGGAGCATATTAAAGTATGATGAGCTATTTTAGTATTTTACAAAAATCTGGACCATGTGTGGACTTATTGGTAAATGGGTTTTTTGTCTGGATCTCTTTATGAATAAGTACCCATTGATGGGCTTATTTGTAATGACCCATATTATCATTAATAAGATATTTTCTCTAATTTTGAGCAAACCAAATTTCAAAAAAAAAATAATTTAATAAATAAAGTATACCGAAATTAATAATAGAAGTCAATAAAACTACTAATTTTTGATATTTTATCTAATTTTGAGCAAACAAAAATTCAAAATTTTTAATTTAATAAATAAAATATACCCATAAAATATTCATAAAATTTATAATAGGAGTCAATAATTAATTGCAAAGATCCGGTGAAAAAGAATAGAAGCCAACAATTAAATATTGTTAAAATAAATTATATTAAATAAAATAAATTAAATAAATGGCAAATATAACTATCAAATGAGTTAGGAAAAAAACCTAGATTTACCGATAGCAACCTTTCTTTTATTAATAAGACAGACACACTTTTTATTACAACTCAATCGTACTTCAACTTAAGGCATAATTTACTTATAATAACAGCATAACATACATAGAAGAAGAAGAAGAAAAAACAACATGCAGATGTAGAGAAAGGTGAAGATGAAGTGATGAACCCTTGGCCAAATTACATATATAATTAATATTTGGTCGGTAGGGTAGATACATATATAGGTCTCAGGGACACTTGCGCTTGCCGCCGTGAGTAGTCATGGTATAATAGCAAGGGCAAACCTCTTGGTTACCGGAAGTTCCAGGCGGCACGCAGTTGCAACGTCCGCAGCACGTCCCACATGCCCTGTTGCACAGGTTTGGTCTCGACGACAACCGGCACCTGGCCAAGCACGCCTTCCCACAATCTTTATTTTTAAATATTTATTTATTTCCCACAAAATTAAGCTTATATTAGTATTATTAGACATTTAATTAATTAATAATATATATGCGCATGTAAAAGGTAAAGATTGTGAAAATAAAATACCCAGTTTCGCCACGAAGGGACTTGTTCCCCCACCATTGTTACTACTTATCTGCATCATCGATCACAAATTAAATATGACCATATATCCATTACTAGCTAGAATTTTTATTTTAAATGGCCGGATTATATAGGAAATTGAATAATGGGATTAATTATTACATGTTATATATTAGTCTAGCTATATTAATATATATAATACCTGATGATTTGGAGCATTAGCTTCGACGAGGTGATGGAAAATGAGAAGGGACATAAAAAGTGAAGTAATTATTAGGTGCTTGGAGATTGACATATTTGGCGAATTAAATTTCAAATTGCAAGCTAAGGTCTTCGAAATTAAAATAAAATAGATATACTACTACTACTACTACATAATTAAGCAAACTTATATAGGAGTAGCCTTGATATTTTTGTTGAGAATATGAAAGCTGGACAGCACTACTAGAAAGTTAGAAATATCGAACCAGCTAGCTGCAGGTTGAGGATTATCTTATAAATTATTATTAATAAATAAAATAAAAATAAAAAAGGTAAAAGACAAATTAGTGTAGCCAAGTGGTGAGAAATCCAGGGTTTCAGTGATGATGATTCATTGGATCTATGGATGAGATCAAAACTAGTTAGATTCATATATATTATTATAACTTATAAGCTAGTGTGTCGGAAAACTCGTACGGTTCGTCCAATATACTTTTCACAGTTTAACCTTTAAACGACGCCGTTTTACGCTTTCCTTTTTATTTTCATGTTCAAACTTCAAACTCAATTTCATTTACACTTTCATTTATAATGTCTTGTTAATTCGTCCGCACAAAACTGTGGGCTTTTGAGATCCTACACCGGGTAGATCTTTACCATTCATATACACACAAACACACACACCCACATTGGTATGTGTAGATCAACGATAAAAAATCACCCGGTGTAAACTTCACCGGGTGTAGGATAGATAAAACCAAAACTGTGGGCCCCTTACGCACTATTCTTTTCTGGCTCTTTCGAACCTATACACCCGATGAATATAACCGGGTGTGGGATATGCTGACACGTGTTATAAATTTGTGTCAAACAAATCCATGGGGCCCAGGTGCCTTTAGCCGTTTCGTCTGCAGTGCAATGGAATGACATATTTTCTATTTATTTACATTGTTTATTAAATATCTGAGTGTTTCATTAAAAAAAAAAAGGGGCCATGAGTTATGATCAATTTAATAAAAAAACGCATCTTATTTAGATAATTACATCTATTCTTCAAATATGATTTTTTCTTACACTATCATCTAGATTTCTTAGAATGTGCTCTAGTTTGAACTCGTTTTAATTTGTGTAAAAAAACAGTTTCTGATGCACTACAATCTCATATATATATAAGCCAAAAAACACATATTATGATCATCTTGCTTTGAAATATGGAGTTCGAATGAGATAAAGCGAGTACAAAAAGTGATTATATTCGAAGATTCCACTAAATTTAATTGAATCCGCAAAGGTTGACGTGTAAGAAGATTTATAGTTGAGGGGTAATTACCCAAACAAGAGGTTTTTTTTTTGTAATTTGACCATACGGGTGGTTGAATTAAGCAATTAATTTTCAATCATAAAACCATTTTATATGATGTTGTTATATTGATTAAAACTTACTACATTCATTTTCAATCAAATTATTGTGCCAAATGATAAATTATTGGCCTTAATTTAATTTAATCATTAAGCGTATTTTTAAAGTGTGTACTTTTGTTTTCTGTTTCATTTTATATAATTAGATTAATTATTATTTTTCTATGTTTAATTTAATTTACTTAAAGTTTTTTGAAAATTTGTATAAAATTAATAAATAAATATGAGAATGAATACGTATATATTAGTTACAGTATTTGTGTTAATTAATCTAATATTTAATCATAAGATTAAAGCTTATGATTAAGTTGAAACTTTATATATGTTATACAAATAGTTTGCCTACTTTCTTCATTGCAGATCTTCAACGTTTCTCTACTTTCTAAGTTGTGGTAGTCTTGCATATCTCTACTTCTATTGCAGTTAGTTTCTTTATTTATTTTTTAATCTATTACCTATTGCATTGTTTGTAACTAACTATTAACTTTTTCTTTTCCAGTTTACAGATTAATTATGTGAAGCCTTTTATTTACTCGATTGTAAAAAGATTCTTAAGTTTTTATTCAAATTTATTTTGCCTACTTTTTCATAATTTGTTTCATAAAATTCATCTCACTCAAATATTTTGCGGATTGGTTTCATTTTGACTAGCTATACAAGAATATATATATATATATAGTATAAGAAAAGTTGAGATAATTCTTCAAGGGCATTTCAATTGGGCACGGTGAGTGGTCATGTTGGCGTAGCAGGGGCAGACATCACGGTTGCCCGAAGTGCCCGGGGGCACACAGTTGCACCTAGCGCAGCACGTGCCACAAGCCCTGTGGCACACCTTCTTCCTCGAAGATAACTGGCACCTTCTAATACATTCCTTACCACAATCTATACATTATACATACATACATATATATAATCGTATTAATTAATAACGAAATTTCACCACGTTCCTAATTAATTATACCGATATCTAATAAATATTTATATCACTAACCTATTTTTGTATCAAGTATTAGGAGATCGCGTCCTTTCCCATTCACGTTATTCACCTGCAATTTTGATAAACGGCAAAATCTCTTAATTAATTAATGGAATTAAGTTTACAACGAAAAATTCCATTTTTTTTTTTGTATAAATCAAATATATATATATATATATATATATAAATATATACCATTTCATGTGCTTGAAACATGGAAATAAATAAGAGGGCGGTAATAAGGGAAACAAGCAAAGAGGTGGATGAAGCCATGGCTTACAATTATGCAATTATATTTGTGTGTGTGTGTGTGTGTGTGTGTGATGAGATGAGTTAGAAAAGGTTGGAATTTATAGTGTGAGATTAGGAAACGTCTGGAATTCAGCAACTTTTAATTTTCCTCAATTTGTGATAATATTGTTATTTATCTAATACCTAAACTTCAATAATTGGAGGAATATAAATTAATTAATTAATTAAATCAAGTAAGTGGAGAGGGACAAGTGATGGGCGGTTTATTTATTGAGAATGAAGCATACCTTATATTGCATAAAGTGTTAGCTATATCTCATTGTATTTTATTTTATTTTACTAATGTACGTAACTGATTCTATACTAATAGATTAATGAGATCATTAATATATATATAATATGCTTTTTTTTTTTATGATATATGGTGAAATTAAATTTAAAAAAAAATGTCAAAATCAAAATGGTTTGATAAGGGCTAGCTAGGCTGCCTAGATTTATATAAGTAGCTCAAATTTCCAGCCTGGTGCGCGGTTGGTTAAACATAATTAATTTGCTAATTAATCACAAATTATATTAAGGTGGTGTTTGCAAATGCTTTTTGAAAGTGATTATGCGGTTTTTTTTGCTCATAATCTGTTTTTAGGTGTTTGCAAAATCAACTTTTGCTTTTGCTTCTCTTAAAATAATCTGTTTTAAGCTATTTTTTTAAAAGCACCTATAACCCTGCTTTTTCAATTTTAGTTCATTTTCCGAAATATTTGCAAACACCCCCAACTTTTAGAAATAAGCACTTAAAACTAATTTAAATCACAATCACTAACTTCTACTTTTAAATAATCATTTGCACACACCACCTAAGTACGGTTAAATTATGTCATTTTACTACAAATTCAGCTAAAGTTACAAATATTAAGGCATATGAGAGTTGACAGCTCGGTAACCCAGCTGTAAATTGTCATGATTCTAGATTTATGGATTTATATATATATATATATATATATATATATATATATATATATATATATATATATATATTGCTCTTTTGCATGCAATATTTCATGCAATTAGGTCATGAAATTGATGAGGAGTAAAGGCGTAAAAGAAGTTTGGCGAGTTTTTTTTTTTAGACCTTGAAATTTGGTTGGGAAGAAATTAGAATCAATAAATTTATGACAAAATATACTCGAAAAAGACGAAACATAGTATTGAATTCGTGACTGCTCATTGAACCTATTGCATATATTTGTAGTACGTGAAAATCAAATTAGGTAACGAAAAACCTAACAATAACTTACTATTCGTCTTTCTTTCTATATATTATTAATAATTAACTCGCATTAATTAATTAAACCAGCTTATAACCTAATTAATAAAAAGATTAAATTAAAAGGAAGATTAGGTAGGAACCATCGTGTGGCTCTAGCTACAACCACATTCCATTCTCCTCTCAATATATACTAACCCCATATACCATCTCTTCAATATGTGAAAAAAATCAATTACCCGTCGAAAAGGGTACAAAAGGAAAACGAAAAAAAAAAAAAAAAAGTGACGAAATGGCTAACGGAGTTACTACTATCACCATAACAGCACTATCCGAAGAGAACTCCCTCGATGAAAAATTCATCAGAGATGAAAACGAGAGGCCAAAGGTGGCGTACAACCAATTCAGCGATGAGATTCCGGTGATATCACTTGCCGGAATTGAAGAATCGGGCGAGGAGAGGGCTGAGATATGCCGGAAAATAGTGGCGGCGTGTGAAGGGTGGGGCATTTTCCAGGTGGTGGATCATGGGGTTGACTCTGACGTAATTGATGACATGACTCGTTTGGCACGTGAGTTCTTCGCTTTCCCCGCTGAGGAGAAGCTTCGTTTCGACATGTCTGGCGGGAAGAAAGGTGGTTTCATTGTCTCTAGCCACCTTCAGGTACGTAGTAGTTTTATCATCTCTCAATTATCTTACGTTTTAATTACGGTCGTAATCTTGTGAAATAATTAACGTATACGGAGTACATTAATTTGTGTTTCGGTGACTAAGTTATGTAAATTTGAACACTTCATGACAATTGTTTCAATCAACAAAGATAAAAAACAAAGGGTAATATAATAATCTGACGAACCCCGATTTTACGGGCTAGTGCACAAAGTTCAAACGGTCATAATCTTTTACTCGCAATCTATCTACCTATATTTCTGGCCGTCTATCAAGACAATTCGAAATATAATGATCATGCTATTGTTGTGAGGGGCTTTCTTGTACAAAAAATGCATTATTTTAGCCCGGCCAGTTATTTACCGAATACTCTCGAAAAAAAAAATTAGATTGTATCGTGTATATGGTACGGTGTACCGCGGTCGTTCGTAGGTGTAATCAAGGAGACAAGCAGTGTGACATCACTAATAAGCTTGTCAGGGAAATGTACATGGGACACATCACATGAGTTAAAAACAAGAAGAATTTAGAATGGATAAATAGATCACGTACTTGTGCATGGCTGTGTATGGTATGTTTAAACCTACTTCCTCTGCACGCATTGATATTAAACACTGTTAATTAACTAAATAATTAATGTTCCATTTAATAACCACCAACCATACACTTAAACCCTAAATAGAAACAAATCTTTTTTCTTTTCTAGTTTTAATTGATAAACATTCCAATATATAACAATTTTCGTAAAGGGTGAAGTTGTGCAAGACTGGCGCGAAATAGTGACGTACTTCTCGTACCCGATCCAAGCCCGAGACTACTCAAGGTGGCCCGACAAGCCCGAATCTTGGCGGGCCGTGACCGAAACCTACAGCGAGCAGTTGATGAAACTAGGTTGCAAACTGCTCGAGGTTTTATCGGAGGCAATGGGTCTTGAAAAGGATGCACTGTCCAAAGCTTGCGTGGATATGGATCAAAAAGTGGTTGTCAATTTCTACCCAAAATGCCCCCAGCCCGATCTCACATTGGGCCTGAAGCGGCATACGGATCCGGGTACAATCACTTTGCTGCTCCAGGATCAAGTGGGCGGGTTGCAGGCGACCCGAGATGGTGGGGAAACATGGATCACTGTTCAACCCGTTGACGGTGCTTTTGTGGTCAACCTCGGTGACCATGGTCATGTAATTAATTAAATTAATTCCCTCACCACTTAATTATTATATTTCAATTTAATTATCCATTAATTCAAATTTTTTTTTTTGAAGTATCTAAGCAATGGGAGGTTCAAGAATGCAGACCATCAAGCAGTGGTGAATTCAAATAGTAGCAGATTGTCTATTGCGACTTTCCAAAACCCGGCCCCACAAGCTGCGGTTTACCCGCTGAAGATCCGGGAGGGAGAAGATCCGATAATGGAGGAACCAATCACCTTCTCGGAGATGTACAAGAAGAAGATGGCGAAGGATCTAGAGCTTGCTAATCTCAAGAAAATGGCTAATAAGGATAATATCCAGCTTCAAGATATTCTTGCTTGAATAATAATTAATTATTAAAGCATAATTTGATTCTTAAATCGAATTAAACTATATAATTAATTATTATGGTCTGTACTAATTAATTATTATCTATGTTTTTCATTAAGGAATATGTAATAAAATTAATCGATCTTTTCAAGAGACTGGATTAATTAATTAATTATGCATGTGCAAACCATAAAATTTAATTAATGGATCAAAAGTCAAAATTAATTACAGTCTCAGCTATTTGCGCCAAGTACAGCTTATTTGATTATTTTATATATATATATAAATTACAAAACGTCTAGAAGAGTCTAAACCAAGAGGAATGAAAAGAAGACTGATAATGAACCATGAGAATAAGCAGAAGCAAGAAGAGCAACAAACGCGCCACCGGGGTACCGTCCTCCGCCGCTTCGTAGACGACAGGCTTGGGCGCTCCGAAGTTGTAACGCAGCATCTTGTGGCGGAGCATAGTCATGTTGACGGCCAGAACCACCACCAACGGCAGCAACAGGAGGCCGAATCTGAAGCCAGACTTGTTCCTCTCAACCCTTTCCTTTTGCTCAAACGAAGTTTCGAAGTAAAGTAAAACGATCAACAGCACGGAAAACACGACCAACGGCAACGGCGGTGCAGATATGGATTCTAGGGTTTGGTCTTTCCAGCTTATGCCCTTTCTCTCTCTTACAAACCAACCCATGTTTCAGTTTCACTAATTTTTCTCTTTTTTTTTTTCCTTTGAATAATTATTGTGAGATATGGATATATATCTTAGCTGAATCGACTTGTGCACAAAAAAGCTGTAATGGATCGATTCGAAAGTGGTCACGGTATATACTTTATGCTTTTATTCGATGATGATAGAATTTATTGGATAATATTCAGTAGATCATTATATATAAATAGTTAGTCTTCATTATATTTTAGATATCTATTTACATATAAAATGAAATTTCTAAGGAATATAGTGTACAGTCGGACTAAGGTAATTAATAATGTGACGACACGTGGAGTGCATGCAGATAAGAGTGGAGTAAGTAGGAGGAATGACGGTTCGCCTGAAACTAAGCTTAAGCTTATTTGATGCTAACTTTGTGACACGTGTCATTTTCTGGACCCCGTATATTATTCAAACATTATTCGATATACGGTCCAACTTTTCTTTATTCTTCTATCTTTCATCATTCCAATAAATCGTTCTTTGAGTTTTTATTAATTTTCACTAAATATATTGAGGATTGTGTGATCAGATATTCATCGTATTTCTCTTGTTAATAAATATATAAATAATTATTTTATTATACACGTAGGCAGGTAAAGTTTAGTCCAAGTTTGGGCCTGCAATACCTTTATTTGGGCCGAAACAAAAATCTAGCTCCACTTGTTTGGGCCTTTCGTAATTAATTATAGATAATTCCAGCCGATATAGGCCACGGAGTCCACAATCTATAATGCACTCTTCGGCCCAATTATTGTAAATTAAGTATTGTAATAATTATTATAATATATATATATATATATATTACACTATTATAGTAAAATTTATTAGCGATATTTAAACTATAGTCTTCATACGAATCTAATAATACAAATCCACTTCCCAAATGATTATATAAACTTAATTGTTATAAAATAAAATTTATCCGCAAAAAAAATAAAGTAAGTAATTGATCACGCAAGATTCGCATACGGTCAAATTTCCTTGCGGCGACTACCTCTTTTGACCGTCGGATTTTAAACTTTTTATAATTATAAATTAGCAGGAATAAAAAATAATAATAAATTAAGAAAATGAGATTGAGATTATTTTATATTTAATTTTACTCACAAAAAAATAATTTTCAAAATTATATGTGCATTGACTTAAAAGCGCGCACAATTAACATTATTCAGTGATGCACAAAGTAGCAACTTATGTAACCTGGGAAAAGAAAAGAAGAAAAGGAGTAGCAACTCTTCACACCATATATGGCATAAACCCTAGGAGACCCCTCCATCTCTAGTTGACGGACACGTGGCACCAGCCACTCCCCTCTCTCTCTCTCCCCCATATTTTCCCCTTATTTTCCATTAAGGCAAAAATACAGCCCCCTGTTTCTCTCTCTCTCTCTCTCTCTCTCTACCCACATTGCCGTTTTCCTTATCACGAAATTACATTGAAGAATTTCGAGGTTTTCTTTTTTTGCTTAGAAACAGGAAAATAAAAAAGAAAAAAAAAACGAAGAAATAATGAAGCACAGCAGCATGAGTAAAGAGTACACTGTGTTAGCTTCTCCGACCAAGGATGAAACCACTGTCGCTCAAATCCTACTCGATCTCAACTTTCTATTCTCCTTAACTGAATCCTTGTCCAATTTCAACTGGACTTGCAGGCGTAGGAGATCTTCCTACGATGCGGCTCCACCCTTACGCCGTGGTCCCTCGATTCGGAAGACGGACGACGGCGGAATCGACGAGAGAAGGCCGCCTGTTCAAACGGAGGAGTTCGTCAACGAGAAGAGCGGCGCCGCCCGCACCACCGCCAGTCCCGACACCCCACTCTCTTTCTCCCCCAGCGATACCGACCAACACTCGTCAAAGAAAAATTCCAAGAAAAGGGTATCTAATTTTCTCCAAAACGAATACATAAATAAATATTTTTATTTATTTGTATAGAAATTTGTTTCTCATTCCTTAATTTTAGCCGTTTCCACATCTCCCATGTTTCTCGGATATGTTTATCTGTAACTACCCCTAATTTAGATATAATTAATAAACTTTAATCACTGATGATTGTAGCCAAGACAAGATTATATTGAAATGATACAAGGATTAACCCAGCGCAAGGACTTGCTTCGAGGGGTGAGTTTGTAATTTCTCCTTTTCTATCCAACAGTCAATTTGTCTTTTCTTGATTTTCTCCCACATTATCTTATCTTTTTTCCTATGAGCAGCAAAACAGAATTATTATTATTATTATTATAATATTATTTATTTATTTATTTTTACACTAATACTGATTTAGTTGGATTTCTGTCAATTATAATCAGGAGATTGAGAATGTGAAGAAGTATTACGACAAGTTGAAGGCCTATAATTCAGAATTAAAATCAATGAAACAAAAGGTATCATATTAATATTTTTCTGGGTAATTTTCATTTTAATTTTGTTATTAAAAAATATTGGATTTATTTAGTTTCCAATTTCAATTTATTTATTTATTTATTAACACAGGTGCTAAATACTTACCCAACAAAACAAGATCTCCAGATGTCAGTAGGCGTAGGGATGAATCCTGGAACCGAATTAGCGCACCGTTATCGGATTCATCAACAGCCGTTGATTGAAGATCCAACGGTGCATATGTTTCAACACTCTGTTGGCCCAATCACCAGCCAGTTATTATACCCACACCCGGGCCCACATGGGTTCGATCTTAATATTCCAGCTGATGAGGCGTTCGGAGAGGAGCCATCCCAGCCGTTGGATTTGAACAGAGCTCTTGTTGATCAACGGGCCAGATTCGCTGAAGCTAGGAGGATTAGGAGAGAAATAATGAAGACCAAGTCCTCCATCACCACGAGATAATAATGAAACTCACTATTTAATTTGTGATATTTTTATTTAATGGTAAGTTGGTAACAACTTGTTACAATAGGGTATAATTTACTATACGGGACTACAGTTTATTAACATATTCTTTTTCTATTTTTGGGTAACTTGTAAGATTTCATTTGACTTTGAAAATTTGGATTATATTTTTATTGCATTAATTATGGAAATTAAGGTTGTTAATTTGACTAAGAGATAATACTACTTGTTAAGGAGTGTGATTGTGATATTTTGTTATTATTTTTGATATTGTTGCCATGATTAAGGCTGCATTTAAGATTTTTTATACTGAGGCAAGTTTTTGATATTACATTTTCCTTTTTCTTTTTCTTTTTTTATTTTATTTTTTATTTATTACTTTTCCAAGATTTTTACTAGGGTTCTTCTATAATTTCAAGAACTGGACTGTGTCAACGGTTAATATTGGACAAACAAACCAGACAAATGGACCAATGGCTTAAAACAAATCTTACACATATAAACTAATGAGGCAACAAGTGTACTAAAAACAATACTTATAACAAACAAATGCACAAATAGTACTCAACAATTAAAAACCAGCTGAAAATGCAAGAAAAGTTCAGGTCTCAATCGAAAAAAAAAGAAACTAAAACTTAAAGCAAAAGACATAGATAATTGTTCAATATTAGAAACTGATTACTAAGAAAGAAAACAGTAATAATAGTAGAAGTAATAGCAGCCACTTTTTAGGTTTAGCCCTCGTATTGCTCTTCGACTCCCTCCTCTTCGTAATCTTCCTCCTCGTCTGCAGTTGCATCCTGGTACTGCTGATACTCCGCCACAAGATCGTTCATATTGCTCTCAGCTTCGGTGAATTCCATCTCGTCCATACCTTCTCCAGTATACCAATGCAAGAAAGCCTTACGCCTGAACATAGCTGTGAACTGCTCGCTCACCCTCCTGAACATTTCTTGAATCGAAGTCGAGTTCCCGACGAACGTGGACGACATTTTCAGACCGGTTGGAGGAATATCGCACACGCTGGACTTGACATTGTTCGGAATCCACTCGACGAAGTAGGACGAGTTCTTGTTCTGGACATTGAGCATCTGTTCGTCGACTTCTTTGGTGCTCATTTTGCCACGGAACATGGCGGAGGCTGTTAGGTATCGGCCGTGGCGTGGGTCGGCTGCGCACATCATGTTTTTCGAGTCCCACATTTGCTGAGTCAGCTCGGGGACTGTGAGGGAGATGTAGTGCTGTGACCCACGAGAGGTGAGCGGAGCAAAACCCACCATGAAGAAGTGAAGACGTGGGAAGGGGATTAAGTTGACCGCCAGCTTTCTAAGGTCGGAGTTCAGCTGCCCGGGGAATCTCAAACAGCATGTGACACCACTCATTGTTGCAGAGATCAAATGGTTCAAGTCACCAACTGAGAATAAAATAACGAAACAAAGATTAGAAATTTCGCTTCAATACTTCAAATATATATTGATATGAAAGGTAATAGGTAGTTACAGCTAGGGGTGCTGAGCTTTAAAGTCCTGAAACAGATGTCGTAAAGGGCTTCGTTGTCAAGAACCATGCATTCGTCGGCATTCTCGACCAACTGGTGAACTGAGAGTGTGGCGTTGTAGGGTTCAACAACAGTGTCGGAGACCTTGGGTGAAGGGAAAACAGAGAAGGTGAGCATCATCCTGTCTGGATATTCCTCTCTTATCTTTGAAATCAAGAGGGTACCCATGCCAGAACCTGTGCCTCCTCCAAGGGAGTGACACACCTGGAACCCTGGCAAAGTGAAAACAAATTTCAAATGCTCAATATTAGTAAAATCTCTTTTTTTAAGCTATAGTTAGAGACAAAAATTTAGCTATTGCAAATTGATGACTGACTATTAATTGAAAAACACATACTCGAATATTGTAATCCTCTAGCAACAGAAATTACAGAATCCATATGCCACGAAGAAGAAAAATGTGCAGGTAAATAGTAAGTAACAATTGATCACAGTTGTTGCATAGAAAGAAACCGCTATATGAATATTTGATTAAACCGACAAATACATAAGCTCTTTTAACATATTATGTAGTATATTTCCACATACCATGTATAGATTAAATTAATTGAACAAATAGTGAACAATCTCTAAAATAAATTCAGTATATTCGTTGATCCATCAAAAGGTACCGACAGCTGTGCACTTTGGCCAAATTATGTTACTAGATACATCTAGTGATGCCTGGTCAATGTCAGTAAGTTTCGACTTTGAAAAAGAAATGCAAGACCGAAGAGATCCACATACAACAAATTTCACCGACAATAATAAGAACAATTTCAACGCGATTGACAAGCATAATTTAAGTATTCACAATCAGAGTTTGGATATAATGAAACAGAACTTCGATCCAGAGATGCACAAACTAAACAGGAGATGTTTCTGTAATCCCTAAAAAAAAGGTATCCATGCATTGTGCATATATAATTCAATACAGTGTGGATATCTTACACCACCAGATTTTCACATATGTTTAATATACGCGTCCGTTGCTCACTCACATCAATTTTCAAATAAAACATACTTCGATTTGACAATGCCATTTGGGGATCTGAAAATGATTCATCAATCAAAATTCTAGAAGAAGAATCAAAACTATATTCTAAAAACATGCACATGAATGTACTAATGCACAAATGAAAAAAAAAAAAAAAAGGTAGTGCATTATTTAGCAACAGAAACGGCGACGAAAACTAATTCAAACCTTGCAAGCAATCACAATTTTCTGCCTCCTTCCTGACAACATCGAGCACCGAATCAATCAGCTCCGCGCCTTCGGTGTAATGCCCCTTGGCCCAATTATTTCCCGCTCCGGACTGGCCGAACACGAAATTGTCGGGTCGGAAGATCTGTCCATACGGGCCGGATCTGATAGAATCCATGGTCCCAGGCTCCAGATCCATGAGCACAGCGCGTGGGACGTACCTCCCACCAGATGCCTCGTTGAAGTAGACATTGATCCGCTCCAACTCCGTGGCGTCGGAACCGTCACCCTTGTACTTCCCCGCCGGATCGACGCCGTGCTCATCGCAGATCACTTCCCAGAACTTGGACCCGATTTGGTTCCCGCATTGCCCTCCCTGAATGTGAAGAATTTCTCTCATTTTTCTTTCCTTACTTTCTATTATTCGCTGCTGTGTATTCGGCGTTGTGCAATGTGCGCGGTGGAAGTGTAGAGAGAGAAAGAAGAGAGAGAGAGAGGGGTAAATGGAGTAGAGGGGAGACAGATATTTGAAGAGGCCCGCTAATTTCTCTCCCTTCTCTGCATTTGTCAAATTTTATGAGAAAGTCGTGTTTTGAGGTCAGAGTTGAAAATAGGGGGATAAATCGTAAGTCGCCATTTGGATCGTTGGTTTTTAGGTGGAATTGGAGAGATTGGAGGGAATATTGGGGTAGAGAATTACTATTAATCAATTGCTGGCATGTGACCTTGCCGGCTGTCAATTATGTGGTCATATTTAATTCAAGCATTTTTGGTATATTAATATTGCAAGTTTTGTCTTTCATCTTTCAACCTTTTTGATACCACAGTTGAATTTTATTTTTATTTTCTACAATAATTATGTTTACATTTATAAATATTGCATGCATATAACTAAGAGTATATTATTAATTTTTATATATTTTTCAAAGGAAATGGGGAGACATCACAGCCTGTCCAAATCTTGATTTGAATCTTTTGGATCATGACAAATAATTAATTTTTATGAGGAAATGGAAATAATACATCCAATTTAATCATTTTTTTTTATTGAACTGTTTAAAATAACAATCCGATAGTGTATAATAAATCAAAATTGTTGCATCTGGTCCATTTATAATGAGGCCTAAATGGTCATTCACGAAGTAATATGAATGAAATAGGCCCAGAGTAATGAACGATCAAATGAGAGGAAGCCCACGTGTTCCAAGAAACATTCAAAAAGAAGTGTCGGGTAAGGATTTTCTGGCGTCAGGACGGTCAGGAGTCAGTCGGAATCGTGGAGAAAAATATTATAGTGTATAGTGAAAATAAGTCTGTACGTGGATACTGTATTTATACCCGGCACAGGGATAGGTTGGTGAGTCTCATGTTCTATCGTTAGTCAGATCACACAGGGGTGATGTGATATATGCGGATTAATGTACTCGTTTATTGAGGGTGAACATCCTCGTTACTTGCGGTTTGGGTTAGTTTAATGGGGCGAGTTCATTGGTGTTGCCGTTTCTAGTAGTAGGATGCTTCCGGTCAATGTCAATCGCATGTCTACCCCACATGAGGCTAGTGACCGGCTTTATGGAGTATTAGTGGGCAAGTTAAGAGTGAGTTGTGCTGTCTTGGGGCTTTGTTGTAGGATCATTATTATTTGGGCTTCTAAGTCAACCAAGCCTGTATCAGCATAAATTATTTTGTTACTCGAAAATTGGCTAATGATTATTTTTCACAATCTAAATTATTTAGTCTAATATTATTGACAAGTTTATAATAATAAAAATATATTATATAAAATTTAGAATGGACCTAGTGAAAATTTAAATGGGCTTTATCTCCCATTATCGAACTCATATGAATTTGGATTTGGGCCCGAAAGGGTAAAAACATAAAAAGCCACGAAATGGAAACCCTAATTGCTCAACGGCCTCCTTTAAATCATTTTCTCTCTGCGTTCTTTGGTTTCCTGTGGGCGATGAGTTATCCGCGTTTGCATCTGTAAATATTTATTTTATTATATTCTTAGTTTCTCAAACAAATTAATATTTCTTTCTTTCACTAAATCTATATATATTAATTGCAATTAATTTGAACCAAGGGATGAATTTGGATTTATCATCTCACGACGGTCGTCTGAGGCTGGCTTTGTGTCCATCGTTGATGAATTTCATCCAATTATCTGATGGATTCATTTCACCTTCTTTCTTCTATTTTATTTTTATTTTCCTCGCTCTGTAATTTTAAAGAAAACTGGGTTTTGATTTTGATTTTAATGGAGGTTAGCATGATGATGATGATCGTAATTAACATTGTCCGATTCAGTTATGAAGGATTAATTACCTCCTACTCATTCTGAATGCTTTTTCCCCATTTTTATTAATTACTTTTTTTTTATTTATTTGAAGTTTTTAGTAATAATATAATTTAATAAAATTTTATTCAGATTGGGCACAATGAGGATAATGCATTTCATGAGATCAGCTACTGATCGTTGATAATCTTTTCTTTTAATGCACAAGTCCTTTTCATTCTGAGTGCTTAACAATTCTGAAGGTTATTTCATTTTTTTTTAATCCCTTATATAGTTTTGAGTGGAAATATTGTTCTAAAATAAATCATTTAATTGCTGGATTACCAGACTTGTTTTTTTTTTTCATAATGATTAATTTGTTTCATTGGTAATTTTGTTTGGACATGATACACTATATTTTCATGGATTAAAAATTTGCATGAAATTATTTAAATAAGAATTCACTTCCTCCAAATTAGTATGTTTTACCCGATTATTTGGTTTTATTATAGTAATTGAATCAAGACGAACATTGTAATTTGGATAATGTGCAAATTGTACAATTAATTTAAAAAGATAATTGGATTGGATCTAATGGCTGTAGTTTGTGGATTGTGGAAATTCCAGAAAAATGAAATTAAAATGTAACAGCTTAAATTGTAAATTGTCTCTAATAGGGGATTTCAGAAAATTGTATATGTTGTTGAAACAGAACGAAGACTCTCTGGATTGAAAGTATGAATTAGAATTTCATGGACCACGACTACAAGCAAAAGTTCATTGATCGATTTAACGACGTAGTTTTATTTTTCATTGAAATTTCTTGTAAAATTTATTCATATCAATATTGTGGTCCTATGGTTGATAAATTAAAAAAGATTATGATAAATTTATGCATTTTGTAAAATTTAATATTTAATTTTTAAATGAATATCTATCAGTTGATTTATTTTTAAATGATTTAATATTTGTTAATTTCACCGTCTGCTATTTACACAGCTAAATAAAGCTGGATCATAATTTAATAGTTGATTTATTTTGAAATAATTTAATATTTGTTAATTTCACCGTCTGCTATACACAGCTAAACAAATCTGGATCATGAAAATTTATTTTTTAAATTTAAAAATAAAATATAAAATAAAAACACCCATGTAATGGATGGGGAAGATAAAAGGGATCAGATTGGTTAAGAAGGGAGTGCCCCATTGTCGTAACAGGCTAGGCAGACACCCATCTCGCATATTTAATTGCGAGTATTTACCACTCATCATATCCCGTTAAAACTTGCCTGAAGGATCATGATTTTTATTGCAGATATACACCCTATTTTATACTAAACCTATCAGCCCCAATCTCTTTGCGCAACCGATGTGGGACATTTTGCCTTCATCAAATCACATTTTTTACTTCATTTTTCCTCTCCTTTTCCATCAACCAATCAACATCCTTCGTTTTAATTAACAAAATTTCATTATAAAAATTGTGATAAATGTTCATCTTATCAAACAAGTTCTAGTTATGCTCAAATGAGAAAGATATTTCAGAATGAACAATTAATTATGCCACAAAAAAAAAAAATATAGAGAGAAAGAGAGAACAAGTATAGGATGCACATGGAATGTTGCAGGGGAACCTTTCTTTTCTTTTTTTATTTTATTTGGTATTCTTTTTATTTTTATTTTCTAATTTTAATGTCTCTTTCTAATAATCACTACGTTATATAAGTCAAAGCCTGCTTCTTAATCTAAATACAATGTATCCTTTCTATTAATAAATAGGCGACATTTTTTTATTTTTAAGTCAAACTTTGTATTATAAGAAAATATCAATCACTAATTAGTATTTTAATTATATTCGTATTAGGTGTTTCAAATTTTCAAGCCAGCTATAATTATAAAACTAATTTGGCCCTAACAATTAATAATTAGCAATACTGTAAAGTAATACATAGTTCAACATTAACAATTATTGTGACGTATACTGTAAAGTAATATTTTGCTCTGACAACTTCACGATTTAATGTTGAAGCGACTCCAAATTAAGATAATGGTAAATTTCAAGCGCCTTTATGTAAAATTTATATAAAAAAAATTCCCTAATATTTTTACAATTATATCCACCTTTTACAATTATAGATTTCTTTCATTAACATCCTTTGTAGGGAGTAGATGTAAAAAATTTACAAACTGCACGTACCTGGATGTAATTTTTAAAAAAAGAGGAATTTTTTCGTAAATAAACTTTGCTTAAGGAGGTAGTTGTAATTAAAAAAATATATAATAATGCTTTGAAATTAAGTCGTCTATTTTTTTATTTTTTTATTTTTTGAGTAAGAAATTAAGTCGTCTATCAATCATTGTAACTTGTAGGGCAATTATATGCCTCAATTATTTGATGTAACTTTTACATAAAACCAAATTTAGTTGGCAAATTAATTGAAAATTTTAAAGTACGAAACTTTTGAATTGTTAACTGTCAACTAACTTCTAAAAATAGGGATCGGAATCAGATTCCTCGCAACAGCAACTTCATAATTTATTTATTACTTTTCTTTTTTTAATTCCTCAAAACTTCTTTGCCCTAATTTATTTATTTTCTCCCCCTCCCACATTATTTTCTAAATTGTAAAAACATAAAAATATTCAAATACTAGTCAGCAAATTGGAATTTATCCATATCCCAAGATGTACATTTGGATAAGACACATCACTCATCAAGTACATATTTAATTAATAGGGGGATTATATTTCGAATTTAATTATTTTACAACTACATATTTTTACTAATAATTTTTTTTAATACATAAAAAAATAGAAATAAATCATATAAATAGTGCCGTTCAGCTTCATTTATCCATCCACCAAAAACCAGAAGTTGTACATTCCAACACAAACAATATTCAACTCACGTATTTGTACGATCATGGCCGCCACGTCATTTTCAATCTCGAATAATCAATCGATCGGCCGTAGATTCTCCGCCGTCCTTCACTCGCCGGGCCACCGCACTCTCCGCCGCAATCAGCTCCGCTTTTCCGCCAGTTACACCACAGCTGATAGAACGTGCCAAGCAGCCCGGCAAACGGCGTCGTTATACCAAGTCCTGGGCGTGCAAACAGGTGCCACGTGTCAAGAGATTAAATCAGCGTACCGGAAACTGGCCAGAGTTTTGCATCCTGATGTCGCATCCGTCGGCCCGGAAGGCGACACGTCGGCCGCGGAAAAGTTTATCCAAGTGCACGCGGCGTACGCTACTCTTTCCGACCCGGAGAAACGGATGGTGTACGACAGCTCACTCTTCCGTCAGCGGCGAAGGACGGCGGGTCCGTGTTATTCCGAGTTGACTCGGCGGGGGCAGACTTGGGAGACAGACCAGTGCTGGTAGGAAATGACCTTTTTAGACATTATTAATCTCGGGGAAAGTAATTGGTTTTTGACAGAGATATATATTAACGTATATCTGTTATTGTAAACTTAATTCCGTAAATTATTGGTTAAAATTACTATTTGATAGTGGCACTTATGTAAATAATGTTGGGTGCGTACGCAAATTTGTAAAATTGAATGCCGGTGGAATTTTTTAAGATTTCGAATATTCGAATATTCGTATTATTAGTAAGTATTACTTTATGGAAATGAAGAATTGCAGTATTTATTTATTAATTTAGAAATAGTTCCACTAATTTAATTTATATTGCTTAACGATGGACTATACTACAGCATATCGGCCCAAATATCATACCAAAATTATTTTAATAGACTGATTCTTCTCCGTGTTGGCCAAGAAGCCCAGACTTTTATATTTTGATCCAATTAATTAATATCTTTACATTTCTACTTATTATTCATAATAACAAATATTCAGCAGTTACTCTCAAGACCAAATTCCATATTTACATGTTATCGACTTGAATTTACTCAAACGAAGAAAAAAAATCTTCTAAAAAAATTGTTGAGAGAAAAGAAAAAAAAAAAAAGTGAACAATATTAAAGCCACTAAAAAGTTGATTTTGAGTGCAGCGCAACTGGAAGAACGACCAATGTATGTATATACTATATAGCAATATTTATTATTGATATGCCTAATTGGGCCAACCCAATGGGCCTACAAGTTATTTATCTACTGGGCCACGAGCCCAATATCGAAGACCAATATTACCGAGGCCCAAACACCTTCAAGTAAGGCTTGGGCCCAACAAAGCAAACCCAACCCAATAAACGACATATAAATAGAGGTTTTACTCATTTTATTAAGGTACGTCCTATTAACTGAGCAATACTAAAATATGTATTCTCTGGACTATTTCTATGATCAGCACGTCTGACTTGAGCGTCGGAGGGGTTTCCGCCGGATCAACCCCCGGCTCAGTTCATGTGTCCTATGATCGCAGGTGCCTCAGGATCATCAAGTTGTCAAGCTACTGATCTGTTTTGCTCTCCCAGCTCATTTTCTACACTACCCCAGGTGATCTACTTTTTAGCATCATCAATTATTGATTTTAATTTGGTGTGTAAGCAGCGGCACTTTAATTTTCATGTCACCACCACCAACTGATTCTTGATATAAATTGTTGCCATTCCAACTTTTTTGTTTCTCTTAAATATAATAATATAATAAATAGATTGCATCCCTTATATATGTATATATACTGCATATATAAATTGGCTGGCGAATCTTATAACCAATTTGCAGTCCAAAGAAGCTGATAAATTGTAGATGAATCTGATGAGTGTGTGTGTGTGTGTAAATGCATATATATAATTTAGTAGTTGAAGCTTTATGGAGTCATGGATCCATGCAAATGCGTCGAGTACGTGGAAGGTAATACAAGATTCCTCTTTACACCACAGCACCATGTGTCTTCATTTTTGCAAATTGCATGTATGTATATTAGTATATATATATATATATATATATGTTTATTATTATATAATAAGAATTAAGACCCATCCAACATTTTCCATCATCCTATATATCCTTATGTAACTAACTGGACATATATTTTTGGGTTTTGGGTGGGCCCACCAAAATCTATTCATCCCATCATAACCCCAATTGCTTAAATCCCAATTTAACTCCTTTTAATTAGGCAGTGAGTGAAAACAAATTTCTTTCCGCTCCATAAAATATAATTTCAGTTCCACTTCAACACCATAATTAGTATTTAAATAAATGGCAGAAAATCTGAATAATTAATACTCAGACTGCATTTATTTTTTCCTGCTCTTATAATATGCAGAGCATCATCATCACAAATTAAAAAGCCTTAATATATATATATATTCTAGAAAGAGAGACAAAAACTGTATGTAATATGTATATATTAATATAGAGGGTTCTGTTTTTGCAGTTATAAATTGATCTTACATTTGGAATAAAAACACTTCCACTCTGGTCCAAACTATGTACTCAACAACATTTTCTTCTTCCCGCGCCGCCGTTTACATCACCTTCATTGTTCTTGCCATGGTTAAAGGTTCAAATCAATTGTTCTAACTTTCCATTTTATCTCATTTCTCATGCCTGATTATATACTGATCGATCGCATATTTCCTTTTCAAATTTTAGGTAGTACAGGGACTATATTCACCCTGGTAAACAGATGTGATTACACTGTGTGGCCTGGAATTTTATCCAACGCCGGCGGCTCCGGTTTCTCCACCACAGGTTTCCAACTCCCTCCCGCCGCCACCAGGTCCTTCCAATCTCAACCCGGCTGGTCCGGCCGTTTCTGGGGCAGAACCGGTTGCTCCTTCGACCCCACCACCGGCCAAGGTACCTGCGCCACAGCAGATTGCGGCTCCAACCAAATCGAATGCAATGGCGCCGGCGCTACTCCTCCCGCCACCCTAGCCGAGTTCACCGTTGGCTCAGGCGCCGCCCAGGATGATTTTTATGACGTCAGCCTAGTCGATGGCTACAACTTGCCCATGATTATCGAACCGGTCGGCGGCTCCGGCGGTTGCGGTTCGACCGGGTGCGTGGCAGATCTGAACCGAATCTGCCCGAACGAGCTCCGGGCAGGGGACGGGAAGGCGTGCAGGAGCGCGTGCGAGGCGTTTAGGAGCCCGGAATATTGTTGCAGTGGGGCCTACGCCTCACCGGACACGTGTCGGCCGTCGGTTTACTCGGAGATATTCAAGAGTGCCTGCCCCAGATCGTACAGCTACGCGTACGATGATGCCACGAGTACTTTTACCTGTAATGGAGCGGATTATACCATTACATTCTGCCCTTCACTCACAAGGTACGTACGGAATAATATATAATATCAATTATATTATTCTTCTTCCGATTAATTTAATTATATTATATTCTAAGCTGCAGTATACATACGTTAGTTATTATTTTAAATTGTGAACCGCTCATTTTTTATTGTAGTCAGAAATCTTCAAGTGACACGTCATCACCGGCGGCAGCCGCAGACACTGCTGGTGGTGGGTCAAGTTCTCAGCCACAAGATAACAATAATAATAATAACATGCCGGCGTGGCTGCCAAATTTTGTAATTGGAGGCTCATCTAATTTTGCCATGAACTCTAATCTCATAATTATTACTTATGTAGTGACAATCTTGTTCTCTTTTATTTAGAGTCACATAATGAAAGGAATTGCCAAGCACAAATTTTTGCAAGCATATACAATTTGTATAGAAATGATTCAATGATACTCCATCAGTTAATAATTTCGAGAATCATGTTCGTTTATAATTTTTTTTTGCGCCCTGATTAATTAATGAATAATCACATAATGCACTTTAATTTGTTCGTTTTTTTTAATGGTTATCGATTACGAGAATGAGGGGAAAGCAACATTTGCTTAGCTTCTAGATGAAACTTGTTGAGCAGTGTGTGGTTGGTGGATGTTGTTTTAAGCAAAGGTTTGCTACTTTACTGAAATAACAAGCTTGGTAGTTCATGTGATCCTTTTCGCTTTCAACTAACAAGTAACAAATATGATGGAATTGTATCATTGATTATAATGGATTTTTTTTTATTATGAAATCGGATAACTTTGAGTTAAAATTTTAGTATTTTACAAGACATTGACAGATAGACAGATCCCTTCGGTTTTAGTATCGTCTATTCTCTTGTTTGTGCGCTGAGAATCTGACCCTTCTAACTGGCAAGTGTAAGTGGTGTTTTGTTTATTCTTGGACGGTTGCAATTGAAAGCTTGATTTGTGCGGTTTACTTAGTAGCTTTAGATTATATTATATATAATTGATTCGTTACGGACGAATCTTCCGTTTTCCGTAAAGCTATGCTGCACTTTGCCATAAGATAAGCTAAAGTGATTCTGTTCCAAATTAAAAACTAGAAAGGAAGAAAGATCTAATTGTATGAAATGTCTAAAAGTATAATTTGCTGTCGCAATTTGGATTTATCAGCTTCGTGTGTGCAATTCCAGTGGTTCAATACAACGATGTGAAGGGAGGATTTGAGAAAAAGTAACGAAATTAAAAAAAAAAAAAAACTACTCAACATTTCACCGATGAAAAAGCGTAGCAGTATTAAGAAATAACACTAGGAAAAGGAATGCAGCACGACAAAATTCATGGTGCGTATGTCTATGGCGAGCTATGAATTAACATTATGAGTTATAGATATCCTAACTAAGTAATGGGCCTAAGTAAAAATAGCAAAATGTTGAAGGAATGAAGGTTTCTCGACGGTTTTTCAAAGTGTTGGAAATCATCCAGTGACCTCTCTACAACTCATCATTCACATCGTCATCTACGAGAGCTTCTTCGGTTTTGGTAGTAGATTCAGTTTCTTCCGCGCTGGATACAGTCTCAGCTTCTTCCATGTCATCTTCCTCCTCAACTGTTGCATCGGGGCTAATTTTGAGGCTGTTTTTCACCGAGCTGTATATTCTCGAAGCAAAATCCTGTGGATCACTTAGCATAAAACCACTCTCCATAAGTGCCGTCTGATAAATCAGCTGTGCTGTTTGCTTTACACTCTCGTCCTGTAAAAAAAATGCTTGATTAAAATCCATGCACGTTTTATCATGGAATTGAAAACTAAACCCAAAACATTTAACAAATCTTGATTATATTCTCCATCATATCCTATCCTAATTCCCAAACGAGGCCCAAAATTACGATTTATTTATTGAGTAATAAGGAAAAACGTACCTCGGAGTCCTTCACTACTCTGTCACGAAGTTCCTTGATAATAGGGTGTCTTGGATTAATTTCAAGAACTCTCTTGCCACGCATGTAGGCCTGTTTGTTAGCATCTGATAGAGTTTGAGATTGCATGATCCTTTCCATGTTTGAAGTCCAACCGTATTTCGAAGTCACTACAACACACGGTGAGTCTGCCAAACGGTTGCTTATCTTCACATCATCAACATTGTGACTGGCAAGAGCACCTTTCCACCATTTCGTCAACTCCTTAAACGACTCCTTGAGTTCTTTGTCTTTCGAATCCTTCTCTATTTTCAGCCCCTCTTTCGATACATTTTGGAATTTCGTGTCCTCGTATTCTGTCAGATATTGCATCAAATATTCATCCACGGGGTCGGTGAAGAAAATGACCTGCGCGCCACAATTTGGATCATTTAGTACGAGCTTGAAAGATATAAAGTACATTCAAATATGGGAAGCAATATGCTGCTTACCTCATAATTCTTCTTTGTTAATCTCTCAAGGAATGGAGATTTCTCTAACTGCTCCTTGCTTGTTCCAGTAATATAAAAGATATCTTTTTGTCCTGACTTCATTCTCGAGATGTATTGATCCAACGAAGTCAATTTACCATCTGATTTAGTGCTGCACACAGGAAAACACCACAAGCTTATCTTTAAGAACAATTTTTCCCCCTCAAATAGTACAAAAACTATACACTAATCTCCAAAAATTGCTTACGTCTCAAATCGAAGAAGTTTTGCCAGGCGGTTTCTGTTAGTTGCATCCTCTATAATACCAAGCTTAATCGACTTGCCGAATTCATTCCAAAATTTTGCGTATTGGCCTTTCTTCTCATTGTTGTCACCAGATTCTTCAACATCTACAGCCGCATTGAATTTGACAATCAAATCAGAACCACAAATAAGAATAGCAAGAGAGATAATTACCCTGCTGCACTTCAATGAGCAACATATACGAGATAACTAATGATGTTAATACATATTTCATTCACTTGACTTGCTAATATCTGGACTAAGGTTCTCTTAAAAGGATGTAACACTTTTTTTGTTCTGTTTGCCATACCTTTCTTGCTTTTGTCGTTGGATTCATCAGGGTCCTCTTCGGCAAGCTTGCGAATCATATCGAGGGCCTTGCGAATGAGTTTCTTTTTAATCGTTTTCAAACTGCTATGATGTTGTAGCATTTCTCTTGATACATTAAGTGGCAAGGTGTCAGAATCAACAAGACCCTGGTCATAATGCTCAGATAATAAGAAACATGTGCCAAAATTCATTATTGTAGTATCCAACGAGTTTTACAAGTAATACCTTCAGGAAGTTCAGATACTTGGGCAAAAGTTCATCAAACTCATCTGAGATAAAGACCCGTCTGACAAATAATTTCAAATTGGATTTGTTTGAGTTGTAATAGCTCTCGTACAAATCGTGAGGAGCCTTGGGAGGCACAAATAACAAGGCCTTGAATTCAACATCGCCTTCGGCATTAAAGTGACTCCATGATAGAGGCTTCTCATCAGCAAAGTCCTGTCAAGAAAATTCAAAATGTTTATATAAAATTTAAAAATCAAATCTTGAGCTCACTGGGACTGATATGGTACGGTACCCACCTTGGCGAGAGAGTGATAGAACTTTGTGTATTCTTCATCTGTTACCTCCTTTGGACTCCGTAACCATATAGCTTTCACATCGTTCAAAAGTTCCCACTCATAGGTAGTTTTCTTGATTGTCTTTGTCTTAGGTTTCTTCTCATCCTCACCTTTATCCTCTTCTTCCTCTTCTTCCTCAGAAGATTTACTTTCAGCTGTTCATGCATAGGAGATTAGGATGAGAACAAGGGACTAGAATTCACGTAAAATTTAATTAAATACAAGTGAAACCAGTAACAAAATATGCACGATTAATAAGAATATTCAAAGATGAATCTTCATACCTGTGTCGTCATCATCATCATTGGATTCATCTTCATCAGCTGGAACCTCCTCATCCACTTCTTTGCTGGCCCATAGATGTATGGGGAAGTTGATAAATTCAGAATACTTTTTCACCAACTCCTACAATTACAATTATCAAGAAATGAGAATACTATCTCAACAGAGACAATAAAACATAAAGGATAGCCTAGGAAATGAGATATGACCTTTAGCTCTACATCACTACATCCTTGCTCATCTCAAATTAGTGTATAAATTTTAATTATATGGCCAAATCAAACTAATTCCCCATCATATCTCAGTTATCTCAAAATATAAAAAAAGAAGTTCTATACAAGCAACAAACCCTAGAAATAGATACGAACTATTTATGAACACGAGAGTAAAAAAAGACTGTATCCAAAAACTAACCTTCAATTTGTACTCATCCAAGTACTCCTGTGCCTCATCCCTAAGGTGCAGTCTGATTTCAGTTCCACGACCAAGTGGCTCATTCCATTCATCTTCTGAAATTGCAAAAGCTCCATCGGCCTTTGACTCCCATACATGCCTGTAAGTGGTCACAAGTTGTAATCAAATTATAGTCTACGAGGTCTAACCTATTAAACACAGGTCAGTAGTCAATAAAACATACTGTTTATCATCATTGTGTTTGCTAATAACTTCAACATAGTCAGCGACAAGATATACTGAGTAGAATCCAACACCAAATTGTCCAATGAGGTTAAGATCTCCACTTGTCTGCATTTTCTCCACGAATGCTGTACAACAACATATTATGGAATATTAGTAAAAGTAATTATTCAGAAACAATATTACAGAGAATGAGAAGCTTTAAAACAACCACAATATACCTGAAGTTCCAGATCTAGCAATGGTACCCAAATTCTTAATCAAATCCTCCTTTGTCATTCCTACACCTCTGTCGCGGATCGAAAGTATTTTATTTTCTTTATCCAACTTAATCTGCATAAATTAGGTCCAGGGCTTCAGAGATAAGATTGAGTCAATTAATTTTCGGAAAAATGATTCACTTTCTATATTTAATTTCCACATCGATTTAAGAATGAGTTGAGGATTTTCTACAGCAGCACTTCAGCTTTAAATTCAAATCATCGTAACTAAGAATTTTACGCTGTTATAAATCACTGGTACTTGACCACGTGACTAGATACTGATGAAAGCATCTCAGAATAGGCAGAACAACAATGGAAAAGCTTAAGCATAATTATTAAGCAGTAAAATAGACCTGAATCTCGAGCTTGGTATTGTCACCTTCACCCAAAACTTCCTTGTCCGTAAGTGATAAAAACCTAATCTTGTCGAGAGCCTGAATAAACAAAAAAAAAAAATAAAAAAAAATCCACATATCAAACTCAAAATCATTCGATCAAAGGTTAGAATAACCAGACAACACAACAAAAAACTCACATCTGAAGCATTGGAGATCAACTCTCTCAGGAAAATGTCTTTGTTACTGTAAAGAGAGTTGATAATGATATCCATAAGCCTGGACACCTCAGCCTGAAACTCGAACTTCTGCGCACTTGCGCGAAGTGTCTTTCTAGACATCGATTCAGCTTCTCTAATAACAACAATAACAAAATCCACAAACGCAAATTCTTTATTATCACTAATAAAAAGAAAAAATGTGAACGAATTTCAACAAAATACAAAAAATAAACTACCGCTTAACGACTTCAGAATCGGTGGATAATCCATGCGGAACGGCGCCGATCTTCTCTTCGACCTTCGGCGGATCAAGTGGCACATCTGAATCGGCTTCTGCATTTGCGTGTATTTTCCTACCTGAAAAAAGTTTCACCAAAATCACTTAATTACAATTTACAACGAATACGATGGATGATTCTTCGGAATGCACGAGTAATTGTAAAATAAAAACACAATCAAATCATCACAAAAAAAACAACAATTTAATACCTTGATCTGGGAGGAGAAACAAGAGGCATAACAGAAATAGAACGGAAGGGATCGTCCACTTCCTCATTGTGATTTGCTGATCAAATTTTCAGTCGGATGGTTTTCTGAGTGGGGAGTGAGATTTATGATCTATAATCTATAATATACCGAGGTTTTATGGAAGTGTTACTGAGTACCACGAGTTAGAGCGTTCTGATTGGTTGAAATTGCCAGCATGGCAAATCTGACGGTTTCAATGCCACGTGGAAGATGATGATTGGGTAATGCCGGCTTACTAGACGTGGTAGAAGTGGGGTTGCAGAATACTGTCCGGCTCGGTCGATGGCTTGTAGCGTTTCTGTTCTATTTGCGGAGGTGCCAAAGATGACGTGGCTGTAGATTAAGGTAACATGGGTTTGGGCCGTTAATTAAACTCAATTAGCTCAAATGGACTTGAACTTGTGAATTGGGCTTCTATTTGTTATTGAGCTTGAACTTGGTTTATATTTTTTGTGCCCGAGGCCGTTAAGCTGAGTTTCACTTGTTTGATTCTCTTAGAGTGCGTTTGGATGGAGGGATTTGATTTGAGGAAGAAATTTGAAATGACTCTAAATTTGGAGTCATTTGAAATCAACACCAATTGATCAAAAAAACAACCAGAAATGAGGGGTGTGGATTTGAAATTCATCCTCAAATCCCTCAATCCAAACAAGTTCAAGAGATTTGTTATTGTGAATTTGATATCACTTCATTCAAACGAACCCTTATATTATTTCATTTCTCTATTAAAAGAATTTCAAATTTTCATTAAACTAGTGAATTATATGCAATTTATGTAGAGTTTCCTTGGCGGGCCCGTAATATTTCCGGAGAAATTTAGCTAATAAAAATGAACGAACAGTGATTTTTTATTGCAATAAAAATGGGCGCATTTTCTTCATTTTTGGCAATATAGGAAGCATAATGTATGAAAATTTATATGAAATTGATTGATAAACCACACTATACAGTAAGGTCTCTTTTAATTGCCAAGATAAGATTAAATAGTCCTGTAAGGAATGGTCTGACAGTTGAAGTAAGTGAGCTTATGTCAATTGATCCGAATTCGACAACCTATATAATTGGTTGTGCATGTCTAGAAAACAATATAATTAGAAATAATTAATCATTCCAACCAAACAATGCCTAAGGATCGAAGTACAGTTGTCCTAAATTTTAGAAACTAATTAATCTTCTTATTTACACGAAACTAGGACACAAATACCAAGTTGGTATGACATATGAATGAATGAATGATGCAAGTATTAAATGATGAATATCGAGCCTTTTTTGGGAAAGACAGAAAACGACATATCAAAAATCTCATGCGATGATGGGCATATAAATGATTAGTTTTAGATAACAAATGTAGTAATATCTTTTCATTTTTTGCAAAACATTTACATTATCATTTAAGTAATAAATATAGTGATTTCCTTAGATACTCCAAGTTTGATATATTACAAATTAGCCCATCATAATATGATTAATTGACAATTTGCGATGATGTCAGCTTATTTTTTCTCAGAAACACCGAACACCGAAAGGAAACAAGTAGTAGTAGATAAGCTCGAAGGGTTCAGATTTCAGAATCATCTCTCCCACACTTAAAAACGTGTTTTTCTAAATTTCCTCTTCCCCAAACCCTCAATTTCTCTCTCTCTCTCTCTCTCTCTCTCTAAATTCCCCAATTCACACAGACACACACACACAGGCGCACACTTGTAATATATATATACGTATACATGGCGATTTCGGACACGGTGCTGGGGAATTTGACGACTCTGTACCTGCTGATCATTGCGGCTATGAAGGTGTACGGCCTGGCCACGGGGCGGAGCTTCACCGGAAGTTGCGTCATCATCCTCTCCACGGCGGTGGTGGCGTTGATACTGGTTGCCAGCCTCGCTTGGGATGTCTCGCGCAAGGCCACCAAGGCGCTGATGGCGCGCGAAGCCGGCCACGAGATCTGCCGCGGCGGTATCTGCTGGCACGGCGTCGCCGTCAAATCGCCGGCGTCTCAGATCCGCTTCCGCCTCCCTCAACACCGTTACCTGTGAATGACGTCATCTCGTGGCTTCTAGACTAAACAGGAATTTTACAGAAAATAATATATATACAGAGAGAAATCCTACTAATTTTCTTCTATTAAAATAAATATTTTTGTTTTGATTTTCCCTTGTAATTACACATCCAATTTTCCCTTTTTAAAGACTGTAAATAATCAAGTTTAAAAGATTTTGCTTCCGCATTTTCTGTTTGTAATTTTCTGAAAGCCGTTTGAAAGCTATGTGAAATGAAATCAAATTTTCTGCTGATGGTCATAATTTCTAAATTCTAATCAACTCTTGAATGCGTTTAGAACTCATTTGGTAATATCGTACAATTAAACAATATTTATGTAATTATCATAATTTATCTTAGCATTAAATTTGAGGCTCAATAATTTCGAAGGGGATTGTAAATATTTTTGAAGATAATGGTGTCATAGTGTCGACATGTAGTTCATTTGTCTAGACTCTAGTGGTTTATGTGACATAATTCGATTATCTCCAATAGCTCTTTTTTTTAATTCGTAAATTAAAAGATAGGTAAGAATGGAAATATCTAGGATTTATTTTTTATTTTAAGAAACTAGCGGCCAACCTATAAACGTAAACCTACATTCTCATAGTAATTTACAAACATACGAAAAAGTCCAATGTTTTCAGAACCGGACCGGCTATAGAACCGGACGACCATTTGGGTCATGGGTTTATAGGGTCGAATTGGTTCAACCGGGTTTTTGATTTTTTTAATATGCCATTATTTTATTAATTTTAATATTTTGAAAAATATTATTTTATTTATATTTTTAATCTCTGAGTTATTATTTTCACTTTTATCTACTTCACCTCACTTTTTACTATATTTTATTGCTTATATTCTATCATTTTCCATTTTTTATTCTTCACATCCGGCAATCGGTCACCCCTATTCGATCACCTATGATCATATCCGACGATCCTCCGACCACTCATGATTAGATCCGGCCACCCACTACTAAGTATGTGAAGGTTCGCTCAAATCTAGCCACAAATAACCAACTCAACGGTGATTCGAGACGTTTGGCCGAAAACCGGGTTCCTTGACTGACTCGGTGGTTCTAGGGTTTTACCCGGTCGAACCGGATTTTGGCCATTTGAACCCGGTTTTTGATTTTTTCCAGTTTTAGATGTTAGACCGACCGCTTTATTGTCGGGTCACGGTCGAACCGATCCGACCGGCCAGTTCAGCCCGGTTCTAACAACATTACAAAAAACATAAACCACACAAGACTAACTATGTGTGACAAACTCAATCTAGTAAAATTATCTAGGATTCAATTATATATGTTATGGTTGAAATACTCAATGACGGGTCGCATTCATAAATTTATTACTGAAGTTCAATGATATTAAGTATGCTAGCACATAGATTTAAGTTCAAGTACGTATCAAAATATTGCAAGTGCTCTAGGATGTATGTCGAGTTATGAAGTTCATGTTAAAATCTTGCAAGTATACAAGAATTCATTTTAGGGAATTTTGGCGCCTCCTAACAACTAAATGTAGACCAGAAAATTACATTTCCCTAAAAAAAATAATAAAAAGAAAGTGGAAAAAGAAATATGATTTTTAATAATTTATCAATTAAGAGAATGTTAGTACATATTTCCCGAATTTACCGAGAGAATGTACACACGACATACTACTTAACTACCTAGTACATAGTATCACATAAGCCCTTGTTCAGTTGTAACATTTCCCTCAATCATTGAGGCCGACACATCAACTAGCCATTCACTGATTACTAATCCACCAATCATTTAAAAACGCTACAATTCAAGTAGCGTTTTTTGCGACTTTGCTAATAACGCGACTTTAGCTATAATTGCGAAAATAAATTCAATCAAACTGTAGAGAAGCCGCACTTCCACAAATGTAATTAAAAATTAAATGGAAAATGAAAAAATAAAAGAAAAAATCACGCCCCACTTGGATCTTTTATATGCTTCTCCTTCCCCACATGTAAAAAGCTTTCTTTCTTTCTTTCTCTCATCCTCTTCTGGGTCAATTTTCACGACACTGAGAAATAGTCACCAATTCCTCCCAATGGCAGAAACCCAACCAGACCAGTCCCCGACCCGACCCGAACCTCAATCCGGGTCGGACCAGTACTGGTGCTACCACTGCGACAAGCGCGTGGCCGTTGAAATCCTCTCAGATCTCCCCGATGTCGTCTGCTACGAGTGCAGAGGCGGTTTCGTCGAGTCTATTTCCGCCGCCGTCGTCCCCGCTCTGGCTTCCGACGATTCCACTCTCGGAGACCAGTTCATCCAGGTCCTCCGCCTCATCGCCCAGGTCGCCCGGGAGGAGGAGGACGACGCGCCGCCTCCTGTCCCGTCCGATCCGTCCGATGAAGACTACCTCCGCATCGAGCTCGACGGATGGGACAACGACGATGACGACGATGAAGACGCAGATGAAGATGACGACGAAGACGCGGAAGAAGATGACGACGAGCATTCGGTCGAAGTCGTCCACGAGGCGGAGGAGGCGGCGGCGGCGGCTGATAACACCGACCACGATGCTGAAAACAATAGATCCGACGACGATGATGAGGAAGAGGACGGAATCGAAGTGGTGGAGCCACGTGGCGGCGGAGATGAAGACGAGGACGAGATGCGGAGAAGGCGGCGCGACTTGCTCAGGATCCGTCTCAGAGATTTCGCCACACGCGCGGCCAGCAGGCGCAACAGAATTCTCGATTGGGCTGAAATTTTAATGGGCCTCGAGGACCACTCGATCGAGCTCAGATTACAGGTTCCAGAATCCGACACCTACGTCGGCAATCCAGGTGATTACGTGGACGCCGCCGAATACGAAGCCTTGCTGCAAAATCTAGCCGAGACCGATAGCGGAGGGAGGCGTGGTGCACCACCAGCTGCCAAAACGGCTGTCGAGGGTTTGGAGAGTGTGGTTATCGAGAAAGAAGAGAATCCGATGGCGTGTGCAATATGTAAAGATGTGGTGAATGTGGGCGAAATCGCAAAGAATTTACCCTGCGGGCACGGATATCATGGTGAATGTATTGTACCCTGGTTGGGTGCACGGAATACCTGTCCGGTTTGTCGGTTTGAGTTGCCTACAGATGATCCAGAGTATGAAGAAGAGAGGAAGAAGAGAGTGGTGGTTGCAGGTTTGAAGGCAGCTTCGTCGAGTACCTCTTCATCCGGTGGCGGTGGTGTTGGTGGCGATTCCAGCTTGGAGTGAATAATAATGGTATGCAACGAAATTCGCGTACTTTGTTTCGGTTTCGGTTTATGTTTGGTTTAGATTGTAGCCTTTTATTTACATTACGGGTTTTGTTTTCAGCTGGGAACAATTGGTTGTGTACTTGCTCGTTGTGGGATTAGGTGAGCTAATTATGATTTGGTTTTCTCTCATTTGTAAATAACAAAAACTTCCAAGTTGAAACAATTTCCCATCAAGTTCAATATGGTAAAGCACTTGTAACTTGTCAGAGCTTGCAATTGTTCTTTCTTGCTTTTGTTTATTGTAGGAATGAGTAGATGATGTTTGGGTTTTTTTTTCTGAACGTTTTGCTTTAGTTCTACGATCGTATCGTGGTGGGTTGAGCATACTTGAAAGCATCAAAGCTCTTTGTTTCTTGGTGTTCTTGTTGGTTTAGTGTGATTTGTGATGAAGAAAATGGAATATACCAAAATGGAAGGTAGTCTTTCGAGTCTTTCTTTGGGCTGTTTATGATGTGTGTGTTTTTTGGCTCTTGAAACTTCAAGAACAAATTGCTGGAGAAACATGTGGTTTTCGTTTCTTGTTCGCCGACCAAATGATATTGTAGTGGATTTTAGTGAGTGTGGCTTAGAATTTTCGTTTATTTTAGAATGATGGTAGACATGTGAACCAATACAAGGAGAAGGGAGATGAAGCTTCATGTCAGTTATGATTAGAGTTGTTCCTGTCTCGAACATGACAAAAGCTTGTGACGGTGCTGGTTCGTATCACAAAATGGCGGAGGGCTCGAAATTTGGGTTTGAGAGCAGAAATTGCGCTGTTGCGTGCGCACATGGTGAATACCGATGATAACTTCGGTATCATAACATTTCGATCGAAGCAAAACTTTAAATTTTCTGAGACAAATTTATTCCGCTGTATACATCATCAATGTTTCGAAGTAAAAGAGCCAAATATGAGTCAATCTCATTAATACAAGCAAGTACAAACCAGCATCAGCATTGCAAGTTGCAGACGAGGCCACAAAAGTTTATCTGTAGAAAACTTCAATGGATAAAGCACCTTATCCAATCGTTGGATAAGAAAACCAATTCGGAAAGAGAAAATATAACAGCCACACAGTCGAAACAGCAATCAATTTTGCAGCTCCTAAAAAATGTCTTCCATAAACATGGAACATGCATATTATATGTACATCCACCGAACACGTAAAAGATGAACGCTACAATATGAAATTTGCTGAAGCATAAAAGAGACGAGAAAATTCGAAAACCGAAAAAAGAAAAAAAAAAAAAACAATTCTATACTTCTCTGGCTAACTTATCTCAAGAATCAAACACACCCACAATTCCCCTCATTTATTTAAGCTCCTATCGGTCCATCTCAACCTACGTTAGTATGCAACTCTTTTAACCTCAGGTTAACTAATCCTATAAAAGTCACTTAGCATACTCTTTCCTCCTAATCAAATCCCAAGAAACGAAGACCAGATAATATTTATTGAACCTATTTCCACGGAGGCGTATAATGTCTAAAAGGGTAATGCTCCCACCCACTATCCGGTTCTTTACGCTTTCCACCCCCAACCGAACTCACAGTTGATTCGGAATTTGACCTAATCTGCTCGTCAATTGACCTGACTCTGCCCGAGTTCAAAAACTGTGCAAAGCCTGCAGTATGATGATCCCTACTTCCACCTTCCACCACTGTTCCCGAGTTGAGGTCAAAACTGTTTCTTGAAGGTCCAACAGCTACAGCTCCATTTGAAGGATTTGGGTTGTTCATATTTATGAAAAACGGCGTTTGAGAGAAACCCGTTGGCACAGCTGAAGCAGAGCCAACAATCTGGGGGATAACTGGTGCACCTCTAGAATCCATCATGTACGGAATGGGCCCACCAGATCCGTACATTGTAGAGGAGAATGGCATAGTGGGGCCAGGTGCAATGTTACTGTAACCATAATGGGGATATGGAAGAACAGATCCAACCCCCAAAAAACTCCCTGTTCTTCCCATATTAACATCAAATGCAAGTTCCGAATTTCTGCCATTTGGCATAGCTAGAGTTGGAGAAACGAAATCCTTGCGATTGACCTCTACTCGAGTGCCCATTATGGATATTACTGAGTCATCTGATTTTATACCCCCCGAGACGTTGAAATTCTGAGATAGCTTGCTTAAATACGAATTACTTGAAGAATCGTTGAGGAAAGACGGTTGATCATTCAGGTCGAAACTCATTAAAGAAGGCTGCTTTGACGACGACGAAGAAGAATGAGACCAGCTTTGGTGGTGGCCATTTCTTTGGGGGAAAAATTGTTGTCCCCAATCTGAAGGGCGACCGCCATCTTCACTCGTGCAGTTCAGATCCAGCTCGAGAAGTTCAGCTCTTCTTGGATTTCTTTCTAGAGAAGATTCACCAGAAAACAAACGAACATTTTTATCAGGTGACAGCTCTCCTGTTCTGCCATCAATACCTTCAGTCATGTTCAGGTCGATATCAAGACCTCTTTGTCGTTGCTTCGAACTGCTACTGCTTCCCCCACCGGAAAGATCCTTTTCAGTTTCTGGCACTCGGCGGAAAGCACTTGTTGCAGCAGAACCTTTCCATCCAAGATTCCCCTCGAATTGCAATGGAGCAACAGGCTGCCCACGAACTGCTGCTGCTGCTCTTGAAGCAGAAACAATCGAGACAGGTGTCGGGATTTGATTCACCGGACGGTCAGCATCTTCCAAACAAACTTCTTCATTCAGATCAAAACCGCACGTGGCTTTCTCCATATTATTTGCTTCTTCTTGAGTTGCCTCTGTGACTTGAGAAGTATCCATATCTCTATGTATTCCATTAGTCTGCTCAGCATCCAAGTGTCCAGTGCTTGTGGCAGATTCTTCCTGCATTGCTGAATCTGAATCCTCAGCAACCTCCTTAGGCGAACCCTCACTGGCATGGGATTGTTTTCCGCTCACAGAGTCCGAGCTATCATCAGGCTGCTGTACATTACGTTCTCGTAGTCCCTCAGAAGAACTGCAACTTTGTTCTCTGTAATCCATGGCAACTTGCCTAGCAACTTCTAGAGGATCTATGATTCCATAGAGTTCCATATCAGACTTTTTAGAATCACGATCAGGTTCTCTACGTTTTTCCTTCTTGGTAAACTTATAATCATTTGCCAAATTATCACCAGGTACACGCAGGTCATGTAATTTTATCTTTCTACGATCTTCAACCCCTGATAGGAATTCCCCTAGCTCCTTAACATTTTCCAAACTTTTATCACCGCTAGAGGATTTGAGCAACATAAGATATGATGAACCTTCATTGCACAAACTTTTGTTCCCATCTACAGGTTTTTCTTGTGAAATGGGTTCTGTTGTTGATCTCATTGCATCTGCAGCATTAGAGTTTGAAGGAGAAGGTCTGTCTTCTTTGAATGATCCTAATTTCTCCGGTGAACTCTCAATTTTTGTGGCATTCTTTATATCACTAGCTGACTCCAATTCGTGAAACTCTGACCTGCCATTAAGAGTATCTTCTCCAGAAACACCTGGATTACAAGATTCAATCGAGGTAGCACCTGTTGAATGACAAACAGGAAGATCAATAGCAGGCTTAGGTGAGGAAGGCGAACCAACATGATCCAAGGGTCTGTCATCCCCAACTGAGGAAATCAAAATTTTATCGGAATTATGTGTGTTTCCAACCAGGTCAGCATGGACAACAGTAGAACTTGTAGAAAGCAATAAATCATCTCTGTTTGATTCCTGGACTTTTTCTTTACAAGAAGTCTCTCTGGAAAGAGAGTCATCTGTCTGATATAATTCCAAATGCCCATTACTTCTCCCAGCATCCGCACCTTTCCCCACATCAACAACTGTCAAAGTAGCATCCCTCTTCTTTTTCCAGCTTTCAAATAGAGCTTTAGCTTTATCCTGTACCTTGGAACTATTGTGGACGAGGAGACCTTCAACAGTTGTCCATATTTCCGTATCAACCACTTTTTCATACCCCACCTGCAGCTTTCCAAGTGCTTGCAGCAAATGAGTAATTGACTCTTCCAGAAAGCTGCTGCTTGAGTCGTTGCTAAATTTCTGGGCATCGCTCAACCACTTACCGATAAAGTGAAGGCCATCTAAATGAATAAAAAGATCAAGGCAATCCTGATTATCAGTTGCAGCTATAGCACTTGCAACCGCAGACCACTGCCTAGTTGCTTCACCAACATTCTTCACAACGCAGTCAACATCTTTCTGCATAACAGCCACAAGTTCTTTGACTCGAGAAGGGACTGCAAGCCCATTATTCATCTCAGTCAAGGTGAAGAAGTCGTCGAGAGTCATAATCGCTTAAAAGTCAAATCCTGCAATCGATTACTTCATTTTGAGGAATCTTCTTGGTTCTTGCCCCTGCAAAAAAGTAATTCAAGAAACATTTTCAAACTTGTAACTGTAAACAGCACGAGATACTTGGAATAAAATTTAATCAATTTCGTGCAACGAACGCCAAGATCTTGCTTGCGGATGCATATATCTTAAAGTCGAGCTAGAATAAAGGAGAAACTGAAAATCTTGGAGTAGGGCGGCGGGACAACTGTTCCTAGTCAGACAAAGGACAGGACTCGGTGCCCAAAAAGGAATATGGAAAGATTTAAATGGTAGGAAGGAAAGAGAATGAGAAGATATTCATCTCTTAACTTTTTTTCCATAAAATATACAGTATTGCATAATCATCTTCCGATCACCAACTTGTTTGTCATTAGTGCAATAAGCACCACATAAATTGATAAAGTCATACATAAGTATCTAAATGTGCTAGGGCAAAAACAAGAAGACTATGGGCGAAATAGGGCAGTAATTGAAGCGGCCAAACTTTTTGCTCTATAAGGAGTAGGGCAGAATGTTGATAGAGTCAACATAAGTAACTAAATGTGCTAGGCGAAAAACTAGAAGACTAAGGGCAAAATAGGACAATTATTGAAGAGGCCAAACTCTGCTCTATAAGGAAACCTGTACAAGCCAAGTGTTTTATAGCTCAAGTATTTAAAGGACCAAAATTATGATGACGGCTCAAATTACATTAATCTATCTATTTTTTGGTGAAGTTGGCATAGTAAAAAGTCTATATAATATGCAGTACCACATTACATAAATCATATGTAACAAAGAGAAAACTTCAGTTAGCTTTTATTTGTCGTTTAAGGACCAAACATAAGGCGTGCATGGTGACTAATCAGCACAATAGATGCTACGTTTTACAGTGTAATGTGACAGCAACCATAACATAGGGATTGAATCGGACCTCTAAAGCAGGGTACCATGGAATTATTGAAAAACAATTGTTGTAACTTCAATTTCTCCAGAACAATCAGCAAGGTTTTACAAAATCTGAAGAATAAAGTAACAGAAGCAACTCTCAAGAAATCCACTTATTTTGTAATTTGAGTTAATTATACCATCCACTGGTACATGGAAATCATCCTAGCAAAGCTGATCTACTGTTCACCCGACTGAAATTTTTCAAGTCTAGTTTCCATTTCATTTGAAGGATACCCCCAACTCAATGTAAAGAAGTGACGTGACAAATTAGTACATATGAACCAATTAAGAAAAATAGAAAAAATAACACAATTCAGCACCCATATAAAATTTAAGCCCGACTAAGAGTTAAAAAGAAGATCATGATATTCAAACCAGCATGAAATCTCATATAATTTAGCATCCATATAAAATTTACCATGTCATATGAGCTCAATGATCAAGGCTGAAACAAAATACCAAACTGAAAGTAGTCCAAAACAAATCACCAACTGGGACTACTGAATCCTGAAACGAAATTGGAGATTCAGAAGAAACCATAAGCACTTGATAATTCTCAATTCAATAAAATAAACATTTCACATCAAAGAGAGCTCGAAACAAGAAACTACACATAATTAAAACTTCTCAAATCAATTGAGAACAAAATTCATCGCACCAAATAGAGCTCCAGAAGAAGAAAGTGCAATTGAATACAGAGTCAACAAGCACCAACAACAATAGACCGCCCAAAAACCAAATCTAGGGTTTGCACAACTAAAACCAAATCTCCTACCAGAGAAAATTAACCGAAAATTGAAGAAAAAGGAGCTTATCAGAATTGAACAGAGGCCAACCTTCGACCAAAGGTCAGAAACCCTAGATGAATAATATTTTAGATCAAAGTTAGGAGTTAGCGTGTTCAAATGCGCAAAGCGCGAAACAAAATCAATACGAGATTTCTACGATATATTCGTTGTTAATGCAGCAAAACAGCAAATCAAAAGAGCAATAATCCTGCAATGAATAAAAAAAAAAAAAAAAAAAAAGGTATATCCACGAAATCTAGAATTATTTTAAGGAAGAAAACGGAGCTTTTTAACCTTTTCAAAGAGGAGGAAAAACCTCAATTATTCCAAATTCCAGCTCCTTTGGATCAAACACTCAGCAACTTTTATCACCAACTCCAAACCCCCAAATTCTCTGCTTCACAAATCGAAAGAAGACGGAGAACTGAGTAATAGGACGAAGTTTTCGCCGAGAGAGAGAATCTTCCGCCGTGTTTATTTGATGCCTAATCTTATTTTTGTTCTCGTTCTTCTTCCTCTTTGTTGAATTTCCGTTTTTTACTTTTTTTTTTCCTGAATTTTGACACTTTATTTTTGCTTTAATTTATTTCTTCTCAAAAAATTTGCTTATTCGGGTTTTGGTCTGTTTTAGCACGCAAGTGGTGAGTTGCCAAACCCAACCCGTTTGCCTCTGTAATGGGCCGGTTTAGAACTCACCATCTCGACCCGACCCACGTAATGTTGGGCATATGTGAATAAGCCATGGCATTATGTATTAAAAAACTATAATTAATACATAGTATATATATATATATATATATATATATATATATATTTTTTTTTTTTTATTTCTATCTAAGAAAGCCTTTTACAATCTTAACATTTTTTTATTATAAACTTGAACTTAAAATTAATTATTTACTGTAAGCAAGAGAATTCGAATCTGGTTCAATTAACCCATATTAACTTGTTTTAATTTTTATATCATCTCTTACGGGACGACCGCATATTCGATATTACTCGATAAATTATATATATAACTTGTATAATAAATCAAGGGACAAATGTGTTGAATTGTGTATTGGCTTCCAAGATGCAAATATTACTAATTTTAACTTGATTTAATATATTACTTAAATATCACAAACAATAAGTAATATGGTACAAATAAAGTATACATTAAACTAACACCACCATTAATACTTAGTAGTCTACTGACTACTGAGTGAAACTGACCTAACAAGTATTTAATAATGGGCTAATAGAAAAGTAGAATTTCTTTCTTTCTTGTCCACAGAGAATGACTGACAATTTAATTTAATTTTATTTATTTCATTTTCTTACATGACATAAAAAAAGTAAAAAAATAAATAAATAAAGACAGACCAAGATGCTTTACATAATTAAACAGTACTGGTCGAAATCAAAGACAGAAAGTACAAAATGCATTTGAATTGAAAGAAATAAAAAATTGAACCTTAATTGGATCGTGAGGACAAGACCCCACTAGTGTTTTTTTTTTTTTTTTTCCTAAAATATTGTTAATCATAATTCCCAAGACTTTTTTTCTATGGTCAGACACTCAGATTTAATTAGGTCAGAAATCAGAATTGTTCTACAGAAGATTCACTGTGTCCAATAAATTTTGTCACACCTCAATTTTACTACTTACTATTTAAGTAATATATGCATGTGCATATTGTTATGGCTTTTATGACTCTTGTGTAATCATCATTAATTAGATTGAATTGATGTTCGCGGAATACCGTAGAATTTCTAAATTTATTGTGGGGTAGAACGGTAATTTGACTCCAATATGTTTCATTGGGCCGAATTGGGCCAAAGGTCCATCACAAATTTAATTTCAAGACCCTAATTAGATGGTGTTTGTCTAAGCATATAATAATTAATGAATTAATACTAAAAATAAGATATAACTGATTATCAGCTCTTTAAACAGCTTATTAGACGTAAGAGCTTATCAGCAGTTTAAACGAGCTCTGAAATTTCACTTTATTAAAAAAAATCACTTTTTTTTTTGTAAAAAACAGTTACATATTTTATAAACAAAGGTATCGCTACAATAATTATTTTTCATAGAAATTACAACAAAATAACAACAAAGTCTCATCAATGAATTAAAAAGAAATCAATGGCCGATGAATTTAGCATGTGAAATGGTGGTGGCTCCGGTGAGCATATTGACCACTTCTCGCATCGTAGGGCGGGCAGAGCTCTCGTCCTCTACGCACAACATTGCGGTGTTGAAAAAGTCCGCCACCTCCGCCAGTGGATATCCGGTGAGCCTGGAGTCCACCACCGCCAGCACTGCGGCGGGGGCATCCAACACCTCCGATGTAGTTTCCCTCACCCATCTAACTATATCGACCCCATCCCCGAATTCCCCCACCGGCTTCCGCCCAGTTATCAGCTCTAGTAGCACCACCCCGAAGCTGTAAACATCACTTTTCTGGTCCACTTTCAATGTGTATGCATATTCTGTCAAATGTCAAACAAAATATCAAAATCGGAATTTTTTAAGTCGGAACTATGAATTCGGAAAATCTTTAGTCACCTATAACATAAATTTCGGAAAATAATCGGAAGTAAAAATGCATCAGCAATTGGATTTTAGTATGTAATCCAATTCCGACAAAGAAAAAAGGGAAAAATCGGAAATCGGAACTTTGAGAATTTGGAATTGGAAATGTTGTTCCAAAATCGAAAATCGTACTAAAACCAATAAACTCGTATACTGATTAACACTATAGCTCAAACAAATAATACTAAAGAAAAAGAAAAAAAAGACCCGACCTGGAGCAATGTAGCCGTAGGAGCCGGCGATCGAAGACATACACTCAGAAGCACCACCACCAATCCAAAATTTAGCAAGTCCAAAATCGGCAACATGCGCTTCGTAATCATCATCAAGCAAAATATTATTCGATTTCACATCCCTATGAATAATCGAAGGCGTGCAGTCGTGGTGCAAATAGCTCAACCCCTTTGCCGCATCGACCGCTATCCTGCACCGCAATCCCCACTGCAAATGAGCCCCTTTACTACCACGCAGCATCTCACCTAAACTACCCTGCGCCATATACTCATACAACAACATATTCACGTCGTTATTCGAAACGTATCCCAATAGTTTCACAATATTCCTATGCCTGATTCTCCCCAACGTCTTGATCTCCGCTAAAAACCCGTGATCGCGAGTCAGTCTTTTAATCGCGATATTAATCCCGTTAGGCATGGACCCTCTGTAGACGATTCCAGCTCCGCCTCTGCCGATTATGTTCTCTTCTTTCAAACAGTACAAAACATCCTCTGCTTTGAATTCCACCTTTTGAAATGCCGTGATTTTCCAGGTCCTCGATTTTACGAGCCTCCTCTTTCTATATATAATCCCGGTTCCGATTAGCAAGAGCGAAATCGCGATCACTAATATAATTATTATGATTAATAAAGTACTTGTTGCTAATTGCCTCTTATGATTGCCCTCATGAGATAATAACGGAGACGAAGCCGATGCACAATAGCTTACGTGAGGCGGACATAGATTAGGGTTCCCGACGAAAAAACGGTCGTCTAGATCTTTCAATAACCCCGTTACGGGTCGTCTCCCCGAAAAATCATTGTACGAAAGATCTAATATTGTTAAGCTTTTCATAAACCCGATTTCTTCGGGAATTGCGCCGTTTAGTTCATTTCTTGACAAGTTAAGCGCATTCAAGTTTTGTAGCTTAGAGATACTTTTCGGAATCGGACCTTCTAGATTGTTTCGACTGAGGTCAACGAAAGTCAAATGGGAGCTACGACGAGTAATACCGGCCGGAATATTAATTTCACCTGTTAAACCGTTACCACTCAAGTTCAGCATCGACAGTTTCTTCAGCTTAAAGAAGATCTCGCCTGGAATTACGCCGGAGAATTTGTTCATATCAAGCGATAGAATTTCAAGATTCGACAAATTCCCGATCGACGCGGGAATATTCCCGGATATCCAATTGTTGGACAACGCAAGGCTCCCGAGCGTGTTGGCTGAGATTTTCTCCGGCAGCTCGCCGGAGAAATAGTTATCGGTAAGTTCGAGCATGTCCAGCAACGGCAGGGTGAAAAGCCCTGCCGGAATAACGCCGTTCAAGAAATTCTTCTTCATTCGAATACGGATCAGTGATTTGCAATCCCCGAGGTTTTCGGGAATCGGGCCGTAAAAATAGTTGTTCATCAGAATCAATGTTTTCAGTCTTCCTCCTTGACATAGATCCTTCGGGATAGTTCCCGTGAGATGATTCTTGGTGACGTCTAATAATATCAATCTACCGTTCCGGCCAAGATTCTCCGGCAGCTCGAGAGTGAAATTGTTGTTCCATATCTGTAAAACTTCAAGATTCGGGAGGTCGCCGATGAATCCCGGCAGGGGACCCTGGAATTTATTCTGGAACAGATTAATCAGCGTTAAATTCTTCAGCTCGGCAAAACTCTCCGGTATAACTCCGGCGAGGTTGTTAATGGAGAGGTCTAACGACATCAAGCTAACCAAACCGGAGAGCTCCGGCGGAATTTGGCCGGTGAGATTGTTCACCTGAAGAAACAAACTGTGCAAGTGCTTCAGATTCCCGAGACTCGCCGGAATTTCGCCGGTGAGATTGCACATTGCGAGATCAAGCAGTTGAAGCGTGGAGATGGACCCGAATGCCGGCGGTATACCGCCGTCGTAGGTGTTGAAATAGCCGAGATAAAGCTCCTGAAGATTCGGAATCATGGCCAAACCGGAGGGGATTTTTCCGGTCAAGCTATTTCCTTCCAGAGACAAATGTGTTAAGCACTCGAATTCAGAGTACATCTCCGGGATTTCGCCGGAGAAATAATTTCCGGCGAGTTTAAGAACTTTCAGCTTCTTCAACTTGACGAACTGCACGGGAAGATCACCGGAGAAATCGTTGTTGTACACATCGAAGAACTCGAGTTCAGTCAGTTTCAGCACCATTTCATCAGGGAATTTTCCGGCGAACGCATTCCAGCTGAGATTAACTAACTTCAACGAGGTTAATTTGGACATTTCCTTCGGCAAAGAACCGGTGAGGTTATTTGCCACCAGAGTAAGATTAACGAGCTTATTCAGAAGCCCAATCTCCGGCGGGATGACGCCGAAAAGTGGTACGCCGGTGACGTTGAGTGACGTCACGCGCGTGGTAGAGCCGTCGCACGTGACACCAGAAAATGAGCAGTGGGCCGAAGCAGATGACGTCACCGGTGCAACCCAGTCATTGAGACCCGAACCCGAAGACCCGATTAGGGATGATTTCAGCTTGAGTAGTACATCAAGATCCGAAGAATACGCTGCATGAAAATAAGAAAAACAAAAGATGAAGATAAGAAAAACAAGAGAATATTTTATTTCCATTACTTTTTTTTTTTTTTTTCTCTTTTCAGTGAAAATTTAAACAAACACCAAAAAAATGAATTTTCTATTCTTTTCTAATCTTCTGAGAGTGTTCAGTTCAGTTGTTCCGTGATGTTCTATTGGCTCTTGTGATGATTTTAACTTCTTGACGCCGTTAGTATTTGTTTTGTGCAGCAATAGGTTTATTTTAAATGTAACGCCGTTAATCTACAGTTTGTTGATAGATTCGGCGGTTTGGAACCCTCGTGTCAGGCAGTGCCAGTTGTACGGATGACGTGGCCGCTTAAAGGCTTGGGGTTTTGGAATGTGACGTTTTTTGTGCTTTTCCGAGAAAAGAAAAGACATATGTACCCCTCTCTCTCTGACACTGTTTTGGTAGTAATTGAAAAAGTCAACTATTAATTTTGTCTGTGTGTGTGATGGTTTTTACTTTTCAATCAAAACACACCATGGGGTCATTGACTTCTGGGCAATGGCTAACTCCGTAATTGATACGGGCCATTCTGGAAAGATCCAATACGAATTAGGCCCACGACAAAAGGCCCATGGCAATTCAGCCCAATGATATAAAAAGACCATTAGGTCGTACGACCTCAACGACGAACTGCGGAACTTCGGCTCGCAGGCCCAGTATTGGCTCGTGGTAAATCGAGCCCAGGGTTATAAAAGGCCCAATACACACAATGGCTTGAGGGGGGAAAAAACCCTAAAAAGGAAACCTTGGAGGCCAAGGTTTCCTCATTTATAAATAGGGAATGATATTGCGTTTTTCCACACAGATAATATACATTTTTCACACACTTTTACGTACTTTCTAAAAACTCGCTTTGAAATCATACTGACTTGATCGTCGGAGCTTTCCCGCCGGGAACACCTCCCGGCGTTGCAGGTCTTTTTTCTACCGGAATCCGACAGAGAGCTTAGAGGACGCGAGGAAGAGCCCCACGGACTAAATCAAGTGGCGCCGTCTGTGGGAAAGCTTGAAGTTTTGGAAAAACAGCTTCCGGGAAAAATCAGATCTACCCCCGGAAGTCCAGATCTGAGCTGAGAACGTGGAGAAAGAATGGACGGAGAAGACGCAGTCGCCCGGAATTTGCAGAAGGATTTGGATGCGGTAGCCCGTGGTGCACCGGTTGACCCATCGTCCGTTCAGAAAGATAAATCGGGGTGTAGCTTCCTTACACCTGAAAAGGAGGGCCGGATCCCCTTCGCTCCAAGCAGCCCCTCTTTCGAGTTCCAGAATGGCGAAGCTGCTTCGAGAAGGCCAGCCACAACCCCCGCTCAGGCTCCCCATGAGCGCACGTATACCCGAGACGAGGTGGAAACCATGATCACCGCGGCCATCAGAAACTACACCCAAAGTTTACCTCACGATAACCGACTCAGGAGGGATCCCAGACATTCCCCGAACGAGGGACGAGCTGATGACGAAGGCGACAGTTATTCGGAAAATCGAAGAGGCGATAGTCATAGAGTCAGGACCGAGGTAGACAGCCTGAGACGCGATATGAATGAATTAAAGGCCTTACGGAACAGGCCAGCGCGAGATCTCGTGGGATCTAGCCCTTTCGCAAAACACCTTGATGATGACCCCATACCAGCTAGCTACCGACCCATTTCGTTCGAGTACAATGGCACATCGGATCCCGCCGAGCACCTAAGCCGTTTCAACAATACAGCATCGCTTCATCAGCTCACAGAAGGGGTGAGATGTCGTGCCTTCGCTACCACTCTAGCCGGATCTGCTCAGGCCTGGTTCGGTTTGCTGCCTTCCGGGAGCGTACAATCTTTCGAGCAATTTGCCAAGGCTTTCATGAACCAGTTCGCCAGCTCAAAGAAGTGCAAAAAAACCTCCCTGTCACTATTTAGCATTCGCCAAAAGGAGAAAGAAAGCCTCAGGAGTTACATCAAACGGTTCACCTCGGCCACCCTGGAAGTCCCGACCACCAGTGATGAGGTACTCATGGCAGCTCTTTCTCAAGGACTGAGAGATGATGAGTTTTTCCGAGCTTTGGCGCTGGAGCCGTCCCCTGATTTCGATAACCTATTAGAAAGGGCATCTAGGTTCATCAATTTAGAAGAGGCCCGCCAACAGAAAGTGGAAGAATCTCACCAAGTCGCAAATGCACGAGTCAGCGAAGTAAAGAAAGGCAGGGAGCTCATGTTACCTCGCAGGGATGCCAATGCCCCTAGTCGGAGTATTGTCCCGGATGCTAAGGGATCTCGTTTTCAATCATATCAGCCCCTTACGGCTCCTCTGTCCCAGGTGTTGTGCGCGATTGAGAAGAGGGCTGATCTTCGATGGCCTCGAACTGCTCGCGGAGCCCCCCGTCGAGATCCAACGTTGGGTACTTTTTGCCGTTTTCATAATGAATATGGACATACGACCGACGATTGCGCACATCTGAAGGACGAAGTGGAACGTCTCATCAGAGATAACAAAATCGGGGATTTTGTGAAGATAGATTCACCTCGGGGACAAAAGCGTGAAGCCCAGTTTGGGAACCCGCCACGAGCACCGCCACCACCACCAGCACCGAAAAGAGGGTACATTCAGATGATTTCGGGGGGTCCTACGGGAGGAGATACTCACCGGGCTAGGAGACGCCACCTCGGTAGCCTCAAAAATAATCATGAGGTTTGCCAAATCTCGACACCGAAGTATCGTCAATATCCCACTATCTCGTTTGGTCCGGAAGATGAAGCGGACCTAGAGGATTTCCATTGTGACCCTCTCCTCATCACGATTAACGTTGGGGGGTACGATGTCGCTCGCGCCTTCGTTGATCCAGGAAGTTCGGTGGATGTCATATCCTACGAATGTTTCCTGCAAATGGAGCTTGACCTCCCAATCTTCCCTGTCACTACTCCGATATTTGGGTTCACGGGAGGATCCCTGACGCCGGTTGGACAAGTTAAAATCCCCGTCACTATAGGAACGCCACCTCGAATACGCACTCAAACCGTCAATTTCGTCATTGTCGAAGGATCGCCAACCTCGTATAATATCGTGATAGGGCGACCGATGTTACATACCTTTCGGGCGGTCCCTTCAACCATTCATCAAAAGCTTAAGTTTCCAGTTGATGGAACGGTGGGAGAGGTCAGGGGCGACCAAGCCCAATCGAGATCATGTTATGTCGAAATGGTTAAAGTAGCAGAGAAAGGCCGACGTGATACCCTCACCAAAGAAGATTTGGGAGACGAGAAACGCCCTCGAATTGACCCCGAGGATAAGACTAATCATGTACAACCTATGGACGAATTAATGATGATTGATCTCGTCCCCGGAATGATGAAACAAACCCGGATAAGCAAGGATTTAGAACCATCTCTCCGAGACGAGCTAATAGCGTTACTACGATGTAATGAAGACGTCTTCGCATGGCAACCAAGTGACCTAACTGGTATCTCACCTCGTACTGTTGTGCACAGGCTCAATTTGCGGCCCGAGTGTAAACCTGTCAAACAAAAACGACGGCACTTCGGTACCGAAAAGGACGAAATCATACAAAAGGAAGTACAGCGACTTCTGGAGATCGGACACATCCGGGAAATTCAGTTCCCTACATGGCTGTCCAATGCGGTGTTAGTGCAGAAAGCCAATGGCCAATGGCGAATGTGTATCGATTTTCGGGACTTGAATAAGGCTTGCCCGAAAGACGATTATCCCTTACCTCGCATAGATCAGCTTGTAGATGCCACCGCTGGATGCGAACTACTTAGCATGATGGATGCCTCGCAGGGATACCACCAAATTCCGCTAGACGAAAAGGACCAGCCAGCAGTAAGTTTTGTCACCGCCACGGGGACTTACTGTTACGTGGTGATGCCTTTCGGCCTGAAAAATGCGGGAGCCACGTATCAGCGACTAATGGATAGGATGTTTCGGGCCCAACTCGGACGCAACATTGAAGTTTATGTTGATGACATGTTAGTTAAAAGCAAGAGGCGCTCTACGCATCTCGCAGACCTAGCTGAGACCTTTGCAACTCTTCGTTTATATGGAATGAAGTTGAACCCTGCTAAGTGTGCATTCGCAGTACAAGCGGGAAAGTTCCTGGGATACGTTGTTAATCGGGAAGGCATTAAGGTAAACCAAGATAAAGTTGAGGCCGTACTTCAGATGACACCTCCTCGTTCCATCAAGGAAGTCCAATCCTTGGCAGGAAAAGTTGTAGCCCTAGCTCGGTTTATATCACGAATGGCTGATAAGAGCCTGCCTTTCTTCAAAGTACTAAGGAAAACAGCTCAGTTCGAATGGACCACCGAATGCCAGCTCGCATTCGAAGCATTAAAACGATCTCTCACTTGCTTGCCGATTCTTAGCACCCCCGAAAAGGGCGAAACCCTGTTTGTATACTTGTCAGTGGGCGATGAGTCCATCAGTTCGGTGTTGTTTAAGGAAGTTAATAATCAACAAAGGCCGATCTACTATACTAGTAAGATCCTCACTACGTCGGAAAGCCGATATTCCGAAGTCGAGAAAATAGCGTACGCACTGGTCCTCACTACGCGACGACTCCGGCCTTATTTCCTGTCGCATACCATGGGATG